TCAGGCCCGAGAAGACGAAGCTGCCAGAAACCGGTGATTGTGACGAGCAGCAAAAACATTGTATGTAATGCCATAGGCGCAGACCGTACCATATGCGACCCATCGAAGCCCTGAGGAACGAATTCCTGGACTTCCGCGACAGACCAATCCGGAGTCATCGTTCCCTGTCGCGCAGTTGGTGTGCTGGAGTTGGACCCTTATTGCAGTCAGACCAAAAGCTCTTTCATTGTGAAGTGACGCATGGCATACGTGATGAAATACTCCGTGGTTGGAAAGGGGCTGCATTCGCAGCCTTGGGTGATATTGTTGCCGTCTTTTTCATGGTTGCAGATGCGATAGTGGGAGAGGATCCATTCGAAGATAGTAGTGTAGGTGTAAAGCTCGGAGAGTCAACGTTCAAGCGTTTTCTAAGCCACAAACGTCAGCAAGCTGCGAAGATGCAGTAACCCAACTAGCGCATCGCTTTTGCGCCGGTTCGAGGGTGCTGCCCACCTGTCCGCATATGAATTCACTTTGTGAGGGTCGTGGTTGAATGCGCATCCTGCACCGTCCAGCGTTAGATGGATATTTGGCCCAAGCTGGTGATAGTATGGCAAATACCTTTATCCTCGTACCGACAACGCCCGTAGATGGTGACGTTCCGGCATAGGGTATCTTTCGCATTTTCCGCTAGGTCCGCAGAGCACAATATCAGCTGAATTGTCCATGCTGCCACATGCAACCGTGAACAGCCAAAGCTCGCCTCACGCGATAGGAACCATGTAGCTAACCTCGTGCCTTCATCTTAGGCGAGCCCGTTGCCCGACGAGAGTCGTCGAGAGTGGTAGTCGACTTCCCGGTGGAGGCCATGGTATTTCTTGAATCCACAGTTCGGCGCGCATTAACACAAGGAAATCCCCATCGAGTTAGAGCAAAAGAAAGTCGAAAGAAAAGACTCTAGAGGAAACCACATTCCTCTAAGAATAAGAGTATGGTTGGAGTCGATCGGGGCCGACAATGGGGAATGGCTGAATAGAGGTGTCTTGTGGTGCAGAGGTCAAGCTCTTGCCGTCTTCCCTCGCCGGGGAGATCCAGTGGTATGTTCCGATGTGCGTCAAGCAATGACTCACCGTCCGTAGACAAAACTTCCGGGTGATATCGTCATGCTATGGTATGGGATGGGATGGGATGGGACGAGACAGCGAGGCGGGCATGCGTACCAAGGGCGCGCGGGGGAGGGAGAGGGGAACTCGACACTCGCTCGGGCGGTCTGCCTTCTTCCACTCGGTACTGCCGCCTGGGCACGGACCACCCCATGCATCAAGCGCGCGTCTACTTCCGGTGCCGTGGGCGATGACGGAGCTCTCTCTCACCACTGCGGCACTGAGGCCAGCTAAACTTATTCTTGCGACTGCGACACGCCTTTTTTCTTTTGTTTACTCCGCTGGGCAGGCTATCATTTGTCTTTCCGAAAGAACCTGTAGTTCATACTACATACTGACGCTCTGAGAGCTTTGACCTCTTCCACCCTCCAAGGCCAGATCCGCCGTTTCCTGTTTCTCTGCCTGATCGCGGCTTCGTATCATTTCCCCGACATACACCCATTTATGGCCCGGAGCATCAATTGACAATGTCCTCATCCGGGCTTGACATATCGCAGCTGTCCGACAGCGAGAGGGCCGGCCTTGAAACTTATATTGCAGTGACAGGCCAGGATCCTCTGGAGGCTATTCCTTTGTTACGACGTTCGGAATGGAACGTGCAGGTAGGTCTCCGAGAACTCATGCCTCGCTAGTCTACCCTGCACCAATACTAAATTCTTTGCCGCTGAAAGATTGCCATCTCGAAGTTCTTTGACGGTGAAGGTCCGGACCCGGTCGAAGAAGCTCGCGCAGCCCTGAATACCCCTCCTCCCAGGCCGACTCGACAGACGCAGAACCTACTGAGCGATGACCTCCGCGCGCAATTCTCTCCATCTCCACGCTCTGCTGAGCCAGCTCCGAGGATAGTGACCCAATCTGAGGATCAGCCGGTCTATCGCCCGCCCTTCATTCTGGCGCTCCTATTTACCCCGCTCAATCTCCTCTACAGACTTCTGTACAGCTCTTTCCGCCTGTTCGGCTCCCTCTTCCCATTCCTCCCTCGATTCTTCAACACCACAGCTAGTCCCGCGCTTCATGGTTCACGCCGGAATACCAATGGCCGCCGGCCCCTGGGCCCGAAAGATACCGCTGCCCGGTTTATCCGGGAATTCGAGGAGGAGTACGGCACCAACTCGATCGGATTCCTGGAAAACGGATACAACATGTCGCTGGAAAAGGCTCACAGGGACTTGAAGCTTCTCCTTGTCGTGCTGCTTGCCCCGGAACACGACGATACGCATGGCTGGGTCCGCGACACGCTGCTCTCGCGGGAGGTCACTGAGTTTGTCACCGATCCGCAGAACGAGATTCTCGTATGGGGTGGAAGCATTCAAGACTCGGAAGCATACCAGGTTTCCAACTCGCTACGGTGCACCAAGTTCCCCTTTGCGGCTGCGGTCGTCCACACCCCTAGTGTTTCTTCGACTGCGATGTCTGTCGTGGCTCGCATACCAGGAACCACATCCTCAGCAGAATTTGTGGAAAAGCTTCGGACTGCGATCGCTCAGAACAAAGAGCCTCTGGAGCGCATCCGCGCCACCCGGGCAGAACAGCAGGCTTCTCGCAGTCTACGCGAGCAGCAGGATTCGGCCTATGAGCGTTCTCTAGCCATCGACCGCGAACGGGCAAGACAGAGGCGCGAGGCAGAGGCCGCCCGCCAACGAGAAGAGCAAGAAGCGGCCGAGCGCCAGGCGGCGGAGGAGAAGCGGATTCAAGATCTTCAGCAGTGGAGACAATGGCGAGTCCAGTCGATTGCTGAGGAGCCCGGTCCGGATGCCAAGGATGCGGTGCGCATCAGCGTCAGGTTGCCATCGGGCGAACGCGTCATCCGGAAGTTCGCGCCTGAGGCGAGCATCGATGAGCTCTACGCATTTGTTGAGTGTTATGAGATTCTGAAAGAGCCAGTGGAGGGGACTGCGACCGTCTCGAAACCGGATGGGTTCGAACACCAGTATGGGTTCCGCCTGGTTTCACCTATGCCGCGGGTGGTCCATGAAGTGGGTGCCGGGGGCTCCATCCGAGATCAGATCGGCCGGGGTGGAAACCTGCTGGTCGAACCCATCGATGACGAAAGCGAGGCGGAGGAGGACTCGTGAGCACCATCTACCTGTACGATTATCGATTTTGGTTTATTGCGATGACGATTGTGTATGGTATCAATTGACCGGCCTCAGAATGGATAACCTTATAGACTCCGCTCGTCCGATGAGAGGTATACACGTGTGTAAAGTATTTCCTGCCTATCTACAGAGTACTCAGTACCTCAGTACTCAGATGTAGTACGCAGCGACATGTGCCTGAAACGGCCGGCAGCAGAAGCATGGACCCTTGGGCGGGAGTAACGGGGACAAACGCCGCGGAGCCGCATGCGCACATTGTGCTACAGCCTACAGCTAACTCGCGGCTTACGGGCACATGCCAGTTCGATTGCTTCTAGGGCAATTGCTTTTAGGGACAAGACCATCTTGCGAGGCTACTACACTTGGCCATCCTTTCAATGAGACTATCGCATACTATATCCGTATGCTGTGAGTCCTGCTGAGATCAATACATATAAACACTGTTGTGCTGCTCGAGGCCAGCCCGGGATGTTCGAGGTGTATCATTACCGAATAGAGCCGGTGGGGTGGACGGAAACAACGCTTCCATTATTATTCATACGATAAGCCAATCGATGCTGATCTCCTCCGCCAAACAAGGAATATCAAAGTAGCGGTGGATTGGGTCCATAGTTACTCGTCCATGATACTCATAACTCCTCGTAACTCAGTGAGCAACCCGCGGTGAACGGTTGGAGGTATACGAGTATCAGTGTGACACGGCATAAGCCGAGCAGGGTGGAATGCGTCTTGTGTCACGGAAATAACGTGATGATTGTTTGGGGAAATTCTCCGATGCGCCAGACTGACGTACTCGAACGCAATGTCTTCTCGAGTTATTGATCGGGAGAGTTACAGCCTAAGTACATCCGTAGTTACTATGAGTAGTTCCTGTACATAGCTGAGTCAGCCCGTTTTATCCCTGCTGCACCGGATCTCCGCCGTCCCGAAGAAGGATCAAACAGGGGAAAAATGGATGGGGCTTCGGATGGCTGGAGTCCCGCCTCTCCGGCCCACTTCGTTAACTGCTTTGGGACAATGGAGTTAATGCCGGCCGCGACGGACTCTCCGCTCTCGACTCTCGACTCTCGACTTTCGGGAACTCCCCCCCGATCTTCTTTTCCTTTCTTTTCGTTCTTTTGTCCATTTCTCGCCACGTTTTCCTGCTTCTGGCCTAGACTTTTCCAACTCATTCTTACTCATAGGTACTCATACCTACGATGAGTCTATCACTATGCTATGTGTCAATTTCGCGTCTGGTTGCAGGCGGCAACCCCCCATGCTTACGGCTCGCTACCCAAGAAAACAAGGCTGAGCTGCTTTTCACTCCGTACCTTGTGACTGACTCTTGACGCTTCGAGTACAAGCGCACTGACAAATCCCGGTCTGTCGTAGTGGCATTCCCGTTTCTCGCACTAGCTGCTCCTGAGCAAGGCAACAAGCCGGTATAGATCATATCCAATCGCATTACACGTCCTTCGAATTATCGTCATCTCTCTTCCAGTCACCATCGGCCATTTGCACGCGGGCGCTCACCTATCCGTGGCCCCAAGGGTGCCCTACTCCCTAAATGTACGAGTACCACGTCGGATTTAAATATGGCGATATGCAGCATTTCTCCGAAAAGGTTCTGCTCGAGCCTCTAGTCTAAACCGTCTCACGTCCCGTATTCCCCTAAGCCAGGAATACGCACGGAGGGTGGGAAGTACCGGGTGGATCTGGGTGTATCAATCTGGGTCCCGACCCGGATGTTGCACTGTTCCTGGTCCCGATTCGCCCATCGCAACGTAAACTTTTCCACTCTTTGGGGCCTGTAAAATGGGGGAGAGCCCAGATGCTGGCTGCGTGCTGATTGTTGATTTTTCCCCCCTCCGTTTTTCTCGCGTCTTCGCCTGTTGTCCTCTTGACCAGCGAAGATCGTGATTATAATACCTCGTTGCCTTGACTGATTGACCCCACGGCTCGTTAGACTCACTAGTTAGTCGCCAGTCGCATTAATTCCCAAGATACGGGGCATCGGAGTGGCCGCTGGCCCTAATAAGTTATATCCACCAAGTACTTTATCCTTAGCGTGCTGCCACCATTTCTCACGCTTCTCCTCGCCCGCTTATCTTCGTCATTCGTTACGGCCTCATCCCCCCTCTTTATCAAGCAATCGATCTGTGATCGAACGCTTTGCCAACCTTGACCAGCCAATTCCTCTATGCTTCTGGCGTCCTCTCGTTAATCGGCACAGTCTTCTGAGACTGATCGTCTCATCTCTTAATCACCATGTCGCTTCTAGGCACTATAAACCCTAATGTTAATCCAACCCGTGGCGTGGAGTCCCACGAGGTCCACGAAAATGTGAACGAAGGCGCAGCAGCAACATCCGCATCCGCTGTGAATGAAGGAACATCCGAGCTTGGCCACCACCACCACCACCACACCACCCACGATGAAGAGAAGTTGATGGCAGAGTCCGGTCTCAGTACACCGGCGCCCGACTCGAGGGGTCGTTGGAGCCGACACACCACTTTCAGCAGCGCCGAGACTGCGCTCGAGAAAGAAGAGGGAGACAAGGGAGATGAAGACAATGAGAGCGAGGAAGTCGCTGCTGAAGAGATCCACCGTCTGGCGCAGCAATTGACCCGCCAATCCACCCGGTTGTCGACTACTGGCGAGAATACATTCCTGGAAGTGAAAGAGGATTCGACATTGAACCCCGCCAGTCCCAACTTCAAGTCAAAGCATTGGATGAAGAACCTTCTTGCTCTCTCCTCGCGCGACCCCGAGAGATATCCCCGCCGTGAAGCCGGTGTCTCCTTCCAGAACCTCAGCGTTCACGGTTTCGGCAGTCCGACAGATTATCAGAAGGATGTTTTCAACTCCGTCTTGCAAATCGGAGCTCTCGTCCGGAAACTTACAGGTACCGGAAAGCAGAAGATTCAGATCCTCCGTGATTTCGATGGACTCGTGCGCAACGGCGAGATGTTGGTTGTTCTGGGTCGCCCCGGAAGCGGTTGCTCGACTTTTCTGAAAACCCTTGCTGGCGAAATGAACGGTATCTACATGGACGAGGCGTCCCAGCTGAACTATCAAGGTATCTCGGCCAAGCAGATGCGAAAGCAATTCAAGGGTGAGGCCATTTATACCGCCGAGACCGATGTTCACTTTCCGCAGTTGACCGTCGGCGATACCTTGAAGTTCGCCGCCCTCTCTCGTTGCCCTCGGAACCGCTTCCCGGGGGTGACCAAGGAGCAGTATGCGCTGCACATGCGCGATGCGGTCATGGCGATGCTGGGTCTGTCGCACACCATTAACACCAAAGTCGGTAACGACTTCGTCCGTGGTGTCAGTGGTGGTGAGCGTAAGCGTGTCAGTATCGCCGAGGCCACTCTGTGTGGCTCCCCCCTGCAGTGTTGGGACAACAGTACGCGTGGTCTGGACTCAGCGAACGCCCTCGAGTTTTGCAAGACATTGAACTTGATGACCAAGTACGCCGGAGCCACTGTTGCGGTCGCCATTTACCAAGCCTCGCAGAGTGCTTACGACGTCTTCGACAAGGTCACCGTCCTGTACGAAGGCAGACAAATCTATTTCGGTCCTACCAATGAGGCGAGGGCGTTCTTCACCAACATGGGATTTGATTGCCCGGATCGCCAGACTACTGCTGATTTCCTTACTTCTTTGACCTCTCCCGCGGAGCGTATCGTCAAGCCCGGATATGAGGGCAAGGTGCCTCAAACCCCTGATGAGTTTGCCGCTGCCTGGAAGAACAGTGAGGCGCACGCCAAACTGCTCCGGGAGATTGCCGAGTACAACCAGCAGTATGCCATCGGTGGCGAGTCGCTTGGCAAGTTCATCGAATCTCGCAAAGCTATGCAATCCAAGAACCAGCGCGTCAAGTCTCCCTACACTATCTCTCTGTACGAACAGGTCAAGCTCTGCTTAATCCGTGGTTTCCAACGGTTGCAGGGTGATGCTAGTTTGACCATTTCCCAGTTGGTCGGAAACTTCATCATGGCTCTTATTATCGGAAGTGTGTTCTACAACTTGAAAGACGAGACGGACAGCTTCTACTCCCGTGGTGCCCTGCTTTTCTTTGCCGTGTTGCTCAATGCCTTCTCCAGTGCGCTCGAGGTATGTCTTTACTTGCCTTCGCATCTATCTCCCTGTCTGGTGTTTCACCTGCTGACGCTAGATTCCAGATCTTAACTCTGTACGCCCAACGCCCGATAGTCGAAAAGCAGTCTCGTTACGCCATGTATCATCCGTTCGCCGAAGCCATTGCGTCCATGCTCACAGATATGCCTTATAAAATTGGAAACGCGATTATCTTCAACCTTACGCTATATTTCATGACTAATCTTCGTCGGACGCCGGGCGCCTTCTTCGTCTTCCTGCTGTTCTCCTTCGTCACGACCCTGACCATGTCCATGCTGTTCCGTACCATCGCTGCTTCTTCCCGGACACTTTCTCAAGGTTTGTCTTCCGTTCTACTTACTCTTGTCGCGCAGAGGCTGACTTTGAAACAAAGCTCTTGTCCCGGCCGCTATTCTCATCTTGGGTCTGGTCATCTACACCGGTTTCACTATTCCTACCACTTACATGCTGGGGTGGTCGAGATGGATGAACTATATCAACCCTATCGCTTACGGCTTCGAGAGTCTGATGGTGAACGAATTCCACAACCGGCAATTCCCGTGTTCTGAAGATGGTTACGTTCCCTCCGGCAATGGCTATGATTCCCTCCCCCTTGTGAACAAGATCTGCTCTACAGTCGGAGCGGTTTCCGGACAGAAAACTGTCGACGGTGATAGGTACCTTGCTTTGAGCTTCGATTACTATAACAGCCACAAATGGCGTAACCTGGGAATCATGTTCGCTTTCATGATCTTCCTCATGGGCACATATCTACTCGCTACCGAGTACATCTCTGAAGCCAAGTCTAAGGGTGAGGTTTTGCTCTTCCGCCGCGGTCATGCTTCCTCCCCTGCTGCCAAGGATGTTGAAGCCAGCCGTCAATTCGCCTCCCCTGAGAAGGCTGAGCAGTCCAGTGGTCAACAACAAAGTGCCGCCATTCAGAGACAGACCGCTATCTTCCAATGGCAGGATGTGTGCTACGACATCAAGATCAAGGGTGAACCCCGCCGCATTCTTGACCATGTCGACGGATGGGTCAAGCCTGGAACCTGCACTGCTCTCATGGTATGTTGATTGGACTTTTTTTCTCTCGCCAGAAACGAACTGTACTAACGTTTATTAGGGTGTTTCTGGTGCGGGTAAAACCACTCTTCTGGATGTGCTTGCTACTCGTGTCACCATGGGTGTTGTCACCGGTGAAATGCTGGTTGATGGGCGTCCTCGTGATCAAAGTTTCCAGCGCAAAACCGGATATGTGCAGCAGCAGGACCTCCATCTCCACACTACCACTGTCCGTGAGGCTCTTCGGTTCAGCGCCATCCTTCGTCAACCTGCCCACGTCAGTCGTCAAGAGAAGCTCGACTATGTCGAAGAAGTTATCAAGTTGCTTGACATGGAAGAATACGCCGACGCCGTTGTCGGTGTTCCCGGTGAAGGTGAGTCGTTTCTGAGTACTTTCTTGCTTGTGCATCGATTTCTAACATGGAATAGGTCTCAATGTTGAACAGCGCAAGCGCCTCACTATCGGAGTTGAATTGGCAGCTAAGCCTCAGTTGCTTTTGTTCTTGGACGAGCCTACTTCTGGTCTTGATAGTCAAACGTCCTGGTCCATCCTTGATCTCATTGACACCTTGACGAAGCACGGCCAAGCTATTCTATGTACTATCCACCAGCCTTCGGCTATGCTGTTCCAACGTTTCGACCGTCTCTTGTTCCTTGCTAGAGGCGGTAAGACAGTCTATTTCGGAGATATCGGCGACAAGTCCTCCACTCTTGCTAGCTATTTCGAGCGGAACGGTGCTCCTAAGCTACCTGCTGACGCTAACCCCGCCGAATGGATGCTCGAAGTCATTGGTGCTGCTCCTGGATCTCACAGTGATATCGACTGGCCCGCGGTGTGGCGTGACAGCCCTGAACACACCGCCGTGCTTGACCACCTGTCCGAACTCAAGTCTACTCTCTCGCAGAAGCCGCTCGACACAAACCAGGCGGATCCCGGCAGCTACAACGAATTCGCCGCGCCGTTCGCTGTCCAGCTATGGGAGTGCTTGCTCCGCGTGTTCTCGCAGTATTGGCGTACACCCGTCTATATCTACTCGAAGATTTGCCTTTGCGCCCTGACTGCCTTGTACATTGGATTTTCATTCTTCCATGCCAAGAATACCTCGCAGGGACTGCAGAATCAGATGTTCTCTATCTTCATGTTGATGACTATTTTCGGAAACTTGGTGCAACAGATCCTCCCCAACTTCTGTACTCAGCGATCTCTATACGAGGCTCGCGAGAGACCGTCTAAGAGCTACTCATGGAAGGCCTTCATGGCTGCTAACATTATCGTTGAGCTGCCGTGGAATGCGCTCATGAGTGTGATTATCTATGTCTGCTGGTACTATCCCATTGGGCTCTACCGGAACGCGGAACCGACCGATGCTGTTCATGAGCGTGGAGCGTTGATGTGGCTGCTTATTCTGTCCTTCCTTCTGTTCACCTCGACCTTCGCGCACATGATTATCGCGGGTATCGAGCTTGCTGAGACTGGTGGTAACCTTGCTAACCTGCTCTTCTCCTTGTGCCTGGTCTTCTGCGGTGTCCTGGCAAGTCCTCAGCAACTCCCTGGCTTCTGGATCTTCATGTACCGGGTCTCGCCATTCACATACCTGGTGTCTGCCATGTTGTCGACCGGTGTATCAGGCACCACGGCTATCTGTGACTCCTCGGAGTACCTCCACTTTGACCCCCCTGCCAACAGCACCTGCCTCGATTACATGCAGAGCTATATTTCATCCGCGGGCGGCTATCTTCAGAACGATGATGCCACCAGCAACTGCGCCTTCTGCACCATCAGCGACACCGACACCTTCCTGGCGGCGGTGAGCAGCCACTATTCCGACGCGTGGCGCAATTTCGGTCTTATGTGGGTGTACATTGTGTTCAACATCTTCGCCGCGGTGGGCATCTACTGGCTTGCTCGTGTCCCAAAGACCAAGAAGACCAAGAAGACCGAGGCTTCTTCTTGAGAGGACTAGACATGTATAAATGAGTTCCCTTGCCCAGCTTTTGTATAATCTCTTCACATATACATATGTTTGTGTTTCGGATTATCGTTGTTGGACATAACCGGGAAATTCTTGGGGATTGTTTCTAGACGCACATATTTTAGATTCCTCTTCTCTTCTCCCTGGCCCTCCGTCGCTCCTTATTCATATATGCCCCTTAAGCGTATATTTTCGAATGCTTGGCCCTCTTTCGTCCTTCATTCAGATTCAATCTGTCCGACTTCGGGTTTCTGATTTGCTGGACCTTTGTCCCTTCACTGCCCCCATCCTTTCACTTCACTTCCTTTCTATCGTTCATCCCTCCACTTACTCATACACCCTCTTTCTACGCTGATACTTATATGTACATTACCTGGCGCCAAGATCCGCCAGAAAAATACATAGAACAAGCTTGACATACCCACTCAAACCTCCTGCTTTGCAAGATCTTGTCATTCCGAACAGTCGTGCACTTTCCTCCCATTTAAATACTACGCAGTAACCGGATAGACCGCCATAGGTATGGTACCAGGATAATAATCGACCTGTCTGGTAGTGTTCAAAGACAGCCCTCCCCAAAGCGGACAGAAAAAAAGCAGAAAAAGGAAGTGTGTCAACGGTCCCGCAGCCCTCGCCAGCCAGGCTACTTGCTCCCCGCCACACCGCGCTCAGGCTGTCCTCGCGTAGATGGATTTCATCACTTATCACCGTGCTCAGCAGTCTGAACAGCCTTGTTTCGCTACTTCGAGCTCCTCTGGTTTGTATTGCGGTGGTAGACTACATACATGGCTGCGGGATAGTCGGGGGCTGGGGATGGTGGAGAGGAGTAGCATACGATAAGGAAGGTAGTGAGTGTACTGATGTCTTTTATGTATAGGTGCTGCAGGGCGGGTTAGAGCCCATGGGATTATACTGTGTGTGGAGATGGAGGTGCCTTGGAGACCACGAACCCATTTGATGACGGTGATGATGATGATGCAGGAGGCGAAAGAAGCCCACAGCAAATCCACAACCAGGGAGAACAACAGAAAAGTAAAATTCACATGCAGCGAAACAGCAAGAAAAGGGGGCATCCGAGAGCGACGGAGGTGGGCTTGGGCTTAGGGGTTCCACTCCTCCAGGGAAGAGTATTCGAAGCCAAGAGTCCGTGTGTCATGTTTTCTTCCCCTAGGGTCCTAATCTATTTACTAGTACGGAGTACCGAGGAGCCAGAATAGATTAAGGTTCCACTGGACGTTTAGTTTTTAATTAGAGGGATGTTTAGGTAATGGATATCTTTTGGAGAAGTCGGGTGCTTAAATTTAGATTTAGATTTAGATTTAGTTTGGTTTAGGGTCTGAGAGCTAGCTGTCCGTAGAGATAAGAGAAGTAGATGGATTGGAGGTCGAGCTTTGAATAGCACTCTGGCGGCTGGGCGTGGTGGTGTTCGTTCGTTATGCATCTCAGGGTGCAGTACAGGGATTAATCGCGGAATCAAGGAGGCTGTTTGACAAACAGAATTTAAATGCAATCAAGGAGTAAGGCTTGCGCTTGGTGATCGTTTCTGCGGCTGCTGCTGACGACAGTAAATGGCGGCACGATGATGATCATGCTTGTAATGAACAATGACTTGTATATATATCGCAAAGAAGAAATAGAGGGATAAGAGAATGAGGGAAAGAATAAAAAGAAAAGAAGAAGTGATGGAAGAAGTTTTGACAAGAATATTAAGGGCGGGTGATACGAGCCATGAAAAGGGGACAAAGAATGTAGAGAGACAAGAAGCTGAGAAGATAAAGACAAAAATGGCTAGGGCTCTAATCACAATAGCATTCACAACAAGAAAGGAAGTTGATATAATTTTTAGGGGGGAGGGGGGGGAGAGCGGTGCTTGTCTACCACGTGAAGGCTTCCTCGACGAAATCGACCACAGCACCCTTTCCGATACGAGATCGGGCAGCGGCACGCACTTCATCGGCGAAGGCACCAGGGCCACACACGGATACGACGGTGGCGCCGACGCGCTCGGGAATGACTTCGTCAAGGACGACGTCCGCCTTGCACCGCCCAGGGAACATCTGCACGGTGGCACTGGGCGAGACGATCTCCCGAGAGGACTTGGGCTTCGAGACGAAGAGCTTGATCGTCAGGATCTCCCGGCGGCCCGGCAACCGAAGGATCTGGTCCATCCATTCTCGCACCCAGGCGAGATGCTCTGTGCTGCGAACGGACCAGATAAGGTAGATCTTTTGAGTCGCGGCACGGCCTTCGGTGGAGCGGATGATGAGATCACGCACGGAGAGCATGTGATGGGTGATACCGGCGCCGGCCGAGAAGAGGACCGCAGTGCCGTAGCTGGCCAGGTTGACGGCATGAGAGGCATACGGCCCTTCGATGAAGCCCGACAGATGGAGCGTTTGACCGGGTGCTGCGAGAGCTTTGTTGTACAGTTTGCGGGTCATGCCTTGGCGAGCACCCATGATGAGAGACACCGATGTCGGTTGCTGATGGGCCTTCATGTACTTGTCCAGATCAGAGATGGGCTGCTTCTCGAGGTCGGAAGATGTCCCGGTGACTGCTGGGGCTGTCACAGACTCGCTGGGCTCAACCCAGGCTACAGAGAAAGGATGCGACATCCAGAGAGCAACGCTGGGAATGTAGGCATACACATGGCTACCTGCACCGACGTGAACACGCTTGGGAAGTTGGAAGGTCACTCTGCAGGCTTCGCCGGGGAGGGCTTCGACCGTCAGGGTTGTAGAACCTTTGCTGGGAGAGATGTTCAGGTATGCTATCCGGCCGAGGCGAGCCAGCCGCTCCAGCAGCCACATCAAGCCAACCGCAATGAGCCAAGGCTTCTGCGGTAGATTGTCAAGATCCAGGTGCATGATGACACCAATGTATGCAAACAGAGCACAAAGCTGGTGGATATGCAAGAAGGTCTCGTAGAAGGCATGCCGAATTGGGGATGGGGAGTGGAGTCCGAGAACCACCATTGCGACGGTCCCGACTAGTCCCCAGGTGAAGAACGGAGTGTCACGGAGGCGAGCAAGCATGTCAGCGAAACTAACTTCGTCACATGCATTGACCGCCCATGCAGCCGTGTGCACAACGCTCTCAATGACAACAATCCGGCCGAGCCACCGGTGAAGCAGGTTGTAGGTATCAAAGCTGATGTGTAACAGGGGAATGAGTGGGTTGTTGCGGGCAGCCAGGAGGAATAGAGGGACCATGTTGAGAACGGCCAGCGTCCCGGAACGACCGCGGAGCTCAGCGACAAGGGCCGCCTTGACGTTCACCCTGTAGTCGAGAATAACACAATAGGCGATCTGACTAGCGAGGTATAGACCAACGAAGATGGTCTGGAATCTGGAAGGCACTGTGCCCACGCCGATGGCCGACGAAAGCTGAAGTTCCCGGTTGTGTCTCTTCCTTCCCAGGGGTGCATACAGCATATGCTTCTTGAAATTTGTCCAGGCAGGTGATACCTCGACACTCCAGAAAGTTTGTTCTCGTTTGCTTGCCGTCAGAGAGGTGATATGGCGAAGGTAGGCATGGCTAATCTGTGCAATTCGTCCGCAGAACACGACGAACGCAAGGATTGTCAAAGACGCGTAGATGATCTGGGTAAACAGATGATCTCGAGGCACGTCAACTCCGTTCAAGCCTCTTGAATACTCGTAGATGTAAGTGGCATTGACGCCATAGCCCCGAGAGGCTATGTGCTGCCGTACACTATCCATTGGAGTTGCGATAGCCTGCGCAGCACGCTGTGGAGGATGAGTACGGCGACAGGAGACGATGGAAAGGAGGCAACGAGGTCGTGTGGGGTGGTGACTCCAGCGAGCTTCCTAATAATAGCGCTCGAACCGCCTAAAACAGGCCAATGACTGCGTAGGCGCAGAGAGCCTAATGGCAGGGGAACGGAAAGAATGTGGGGAAGAGCAAGGGAGTTCCAGGGGATCCTCCAGTAAACAGAACCCCAGCGATAGCGACAGTATCAAAAGTAGCGGATGGCTGCAAGGCTGGTTTGACAGTCGAAGATGCTGTTTGAATCTCCACGGACTGTACTTGAGCTGGAACCGTCTGGCAGGTCGTTTTATCGGGCGATACTGATGATGACGTTTGCCTCAAGGGGTGAGCAAATGACCAAGATGTTGTCACGGGTGATGTCCTTTAGCGGAGCCGAAGAATGTTGAAGACACCAGACAGGATGGCGAAGTTGACGTTTGGGGTCTACCAAGATTTAGTCTTAGAGTTATGACCAGCGTCATGAGGGGCGAGCCAGCCTTCAGATATACTCACCTTAGATTGCCTACGTGCATAATATAAGGGAAATATTCCAGCAAGGGGATCAAAGACGCGCAGCGTCGCGAATAGTGCAGCGGCTAGAAGAAGAAGCGAAAGCTGCCAGCAAAAGAGAAAGTAACACAAAGCAACGAGAGTGTCTATTGTTGTGAAAAGGACCAATTCCGCCTATTTCATGATAAATGACGTCTGACTGCAGGCAATGATCGGCACAACCCAAGAAGGCAGGGAAAGCTTGTCCGTTTCAAACTCCAGGCACAATAGTCGATTGTTTGAAACAATGAACAATGAATGAATGGATGAGCCGCTCAGTGAAAGAAGAACGACCAGCCAGCTGGCTAGAGGGAAAGCGATTGAAGAAGGTAAGAATGGGGGTAGGAAGAATGGAAAAGAGTGAAGAAGAGGGTTCGAAGAACACACGAAAGGTAAGAAGAGATGGAGAAGAAAAAAAATCACTTCTACATTGGGAGATCCACGGCGCAGATAGATACCCTTTAAAGCGAAAGAAAAGTATCACATCAGGCAGCGGACCGGGTCTGCCATCAAGCTACTCCGTACATACCGAAAGAAGACCAATAACCAGGGCCACAGACCCATTAGCAGGTAACAGTGGCGTGGTCCTCCTGAGAGGGGTTCATCTTGGGCGCCAAGACAGACGTCTGCGCTCGGCCTCGAACCGGTAGAAAGAGCTCTGGAGCGCATTGAGGGCCCGACGGTGGCATCGTTGTTTCTGATAGAGATGGACAGGTCTCCAGGCTTGGCCGGGTGTTTAGCGCTCTTGGCTCCAAGCAGCAGCCGCGGAGACGGGGCAAGCTGCAGGCTTGCAGCAGGGGTGGTCCGACCGAGGCGCATCGCTGGCCACTGAACAGCCAGCCCCTGATCGGAACTGCATTTCAACCGTTCTCACAGGTCCAAAGACGTGCACCTTGAAGGGTTGAGGTTGAATATTCATGACTGAGAGAATCGTATTGGTTTATCGCGACGTCTTTGCATGTTTCAAGTGCTGCAGTTCCAGCTGAAACGCTTGCTCCATATTGGCCAGAACCATGTTTGGTGGCCCACCGAGCTTCCCACTGGCAGGTGAATTCAGCCACTGACTAAGTTTGGTGTGTTAGCGAAGCTCTTAGGGTGAAACAAAGCTTGGTGTTCACACTGGTGGTGGTGATGTTTCTTTTGAGAGAATGATGATTGCTAAATGGAAAGTAAGTGGACTGTTGAGGAGGGGAGGAGGGAAGGAGAATTGGCAGTGGAGGAGATAGTAGAGTAGAACTAGACTACGGGATTCAGGGAAATTGGGCGGAGAGTCGGAGACACATGGCGGTCACGGGTCCGAGACTAGGCCCGCCCTGTTTAATCTATTTTCATTATTCTGCTTCCAATCCGATTCTCTCATTTGCTCGGAGACTTCGGTTTCCTGGCTATCTCGGAATACTCTTCCTACATTCGGCTCTTCTTCCTTGACTTGATACTTCTTGGAACCCTGCTAAGAAAAATTTAGAGAAACAAAAAAAGATCAAGAGACAAACACATGACATAAAAATAACCCCATCGGAACCAAAAGAAAAGTGGATATGCGTTTACCGTTGGCTCAGGTTCGTGTCCCACTGAAGTGCCAGTCGAAATCACCAGTTCTTTCGGCTCTAGCCTGAAGCCACATGGGAGTTCGACACTTCAATGACAGGCAGTAGCTCATTAGCTTTTTATGCCATGCTTCCAGCCCCTAAAATGGAAGACTAACGCACGGATCTGAGACGCACTTGGTATTCATGCGCGGCTGTCAAGTGTGGTATGACGAGCTAAGGTAGATATGACCTGACATGTTAGCATCCTTTGACTATTGCTGTCAAGGCAAGATTAACTCCCTTTGTAGTACCGCATGAGATAAAGTAGCTTGACTGAAAGACGCCTACACATGTGAACTACCACATACCGATAGGCTCTCACCAGAGTCTTCTCAACTCGGCGTATCTGCCCACTGCCAGATTTTATCTGAAACATCACGTCCTAGCTTGGCCTCAGAAGCCCTAGGAATGGCAGGCAGAGGCAAGCAGACTATCTTGGTTGAGCTCACTGTAGGCCAGCTCGGATTCAAACGTCGGATTTATCGATAGATATGACCCGTTGTATCTGGTAGGGAATTCGCATGTTTCGCTGACATCTCGCTTCGCTTGCTTGCAAAAATGTCTCGCAGCTCTTTGTTGCATGGTTGTTTGCAGCTCAATTGACTGGCTGGCCTAGTCATTCAGGCATGCTTGGTTGTTCGGTGAGGTGCTGTGCAGAGGAGCGATCTCCCCTGCAGTGAGGTCTTTGCATGCTGCCTTCAAAGGCAACAGCTCGCGGTCCCTTGGCAATAGCATGGAGACAGTGTAGCATAGTGGCGGTAGAGTAGTCCATTATCAGAAGTCTGCCCTGGTGTCAAAAATACTGATAAACAGCCGATATTTGCAACAATAATGTTTGAACTCTTAAGGTAGCCTTCAAGAAACCCCATCATTCTTGTATGTCTTCCCATGCGGGGGCAGCAATCAAATCAGGTAGGTTCAAAGCCCGATCCCCCCGCATACGGCTATTGAACCTTCCTTCGGGGGGTGTCCGACCGTTTCGTGTATTGATGTCAATACATGTTGGATACCCGCAATTATCATCAACAAGGGCATCTATCCCCGGCCTGAACCGGGGCAATTATCCATAAATGGTGCTGGTCTCGAAGCTAATTATTGCTGCTCTATGGGATATGGACTGGGGTATGCTGTGAGTGTGTTCCAGAGTTTTTGGGGGGGAGGGGGGTCAGACTCTTACTACACACTCAAAGGTCACCACTGTTAGTGGTCGCAAGTATATATTCGCCGGGGACCGCACACTGGTACTCGCTGTGCAGCGCCAAATGCCAGCTTGTCAATGTTAGCTCCTAGCAATCCAAGCGACTGTCAAGATTACATGGATTAGATACTTGCAATAAAGTTATTTATCATATCAAACAACGTCTGAACATTTTGAGTTTTGTTGCTGTTCAAGTTACTGGTCGGATAGAATACCGTGCTGTGTACGGATCGGGTAAGACCGCTGTTGCCGTCTTCTCTATCCAAGTTTCTTTTCTCTCTGCCGCCTCCTGTTTATCACTGAAATCATACACGAGTCGGTTGCAATCCAGCATATGTGATTAGCCCAGCAATTTCATGCGGAGTATAAATTGATGACTGCATTTTGAGCTAGGTGCATGCGACTTGGCTCAGCTGGTGGTAGACAAAACTTATTTTTACCTACCTCCTTCTAGTGTGGGGAAAGCACGAGCGCCTGAGTGAAGCTGGAATCCGATCTCCAACGAACGACAGATAATATGCTGGTAGCACGCCGAAGCCGCTGAACGCCCACCAAACCTTCCTCGCCCTCTGTCTGACACCGATAACTTCTACTCTTCCTCTCTTTTCTGCAATCAGCAAGCCTGATCATCTCTTTCGCCTTTCTTCAGCCGGTTATCTCTCAGACCTTGACACATCACGTGCATGGTATCTCGGAGTCAAATCGTGACCGTGGCTTTAATAAGCAAGTTTGTGAGATTTTACTAGGATGAAAATGTGGCTTTAGAATCTCAATCGGGTGAAGTGAACCTACGAAGCGACATTCGCACTCTAGAGAATAGTCGCCATGGAGCAAGACGAACGATCTTCCCCGGTCGCGGGAACTCCAGGGTCAAGAGCCAAGGCTCGTTCAGACCATCTCATGAAACGCGTCTCAAGAGCTTGCTTGCATTGCAGACAGCGTAAATCGAAATGTGATCTGTAAGTCAACCGTCGACGAATATGGTGCTCCAAGCTGCTGCCAGCCATCGATGATTCTTTTGCATACATCCATCTCTTCTCATTTCATGGTCTTCACAGATGCTGGCTCTCTCCTACATGAATAACTGACTAAATTGCGCATACAGAGACAGCAGTGGTAGTCCTGGAGTGCCACCATGCCAGCGCTGCATCCGAGATAATCGTGAATGTGTCCTAGGTAGCTCTAACCGCGGAGGACGGCGCATTCGCAAAAACAAAATGCAGAATTTCACCCCAGACAGCATAACACCAGGCCGAAGGGACTCCATCATAGAACCGGCAAGTCCCTCAAATTCGGAGAACCGTCAGGCAACGGCTTCGGGCTCCTACCCCGGCCCTGTTCAATTTGTCCCCCCTGATCCCCCCACCGCACCTTCGTTGTCCGTGGATGATGAAGACACGGCTTCCATAGGCTCCGTGCCCCGGAACCCCTCTGACGCATGGCAGTGTCTGACTGGCATCGCGAAAAGAGGAACGGATGGTCCCAGCCCGGAATTTGGAGCCGAATCTCTTCGTGTAAGCTCGAATGGCTTTACTGGACTCAGCGCGCTGGGAAATGGCTCCATGGGTGACTTTCCGTCCAACAGTGGCGTTAAAGCATATCGCCTAGTACAAACTCGGTCTCTGGATACGGGAACCGTTTGGCAACTAGTGGTTCGATATGCTGAGCGCTTTCACCCGTACCTCCCATTGGTGCCACGGAAGTACTTTGAGCGTAGCGCACTTGATACGTTCGCCAACAATGAGAAGCATCTTCTCACTGCCGTTTTAACCATTGCCTCTAAAGACCTTGTGGAGCGACCAGAGATCCACGAATACTGTTCCAAATACATGCACGAATTGATATCCGGAATTGCCGCCGGCGCCGACTGCGACGTGGAGGCTGTAGAGGCTCTACTTCTCCTAGCGGAATGGGAGCCCCAAGGCCTTCGACCTCGAATAGAGAAGGTTGGTCGCGGAGAGGAGGATCGCGCTGCCTGGATGCATGTTGGCCTCGCTCTGCGCTCTGGGTATTTTCTTGGACTGGACAGATCGTCATTTCGAGGCGATTCGTCCGGAGACACAGAGACGGAGGCTCGGAAACGACTAGCATGGACCAGTTGCTATGTGTCCGATCGATTGATATCTGTGCGCATCGGGCGAGCTTTCTGGTCCCGAGGCCCGGGACCAATGACTGGTCTCGTTAGCCAGGACTTCCCATCGCTTCAACCAGTGAATGATGGCGATGAGGACTATGCGAGGATCTTCCAGGCCACGCTAGATCTTACTCAATTGTATAACAATGTACACGATGTGCTATATTCTGGGATGCGAACGAGCAATCAAATGATGCTTATGGGTGACTATGTGAAGTACGTTGACGACTTCCGACTGGCAATCCTGCGATGGAAATCTCTATGGGGCTCTTTACCATGTGAGTCAAACTCTCTGCAGTCATGCCTTCTCACTAATAACCAGCAGGCTCTACGCCAATGAAGGTCACCTTACAACTTTCTTACGAATATCTAAGACTCTACACCAACGCTTTTGCCTTCCAAGCAGCTATTTCCCAGTCCTTGGTCTCCAAAACAAAAACCGACGACCAGTCTCAAAGAGAGTACTTGCGGACAACTTTCAACAATGTGGCTTCGATGCAAGATGCTCGATTTATTTACGAGTCGATCGATGCTGCCAAAGCTTACCTGACCATACTTGTCGATGTGGTTGACCCCGAGAAACATCTCCATTTTATGCCGCTCCGGTTCTATTTATATGGGATTTATTCTGCAGTATTCTTGTACAAGGTAGAAGAACTCCAATCTCCCTCTCCTGCCTCAACAAAATACTGACTGCATGCGGCTAGGCCCGCTCCTTCGGTGTTATGATGTTCTCCGAGGAGATGAAGGTGCGAGATCTTGTCACTCGGACTACACAAGTGTTGAGGCGAGCCAGCGCCGGCCCCGATGATATTGGGTCACGGTATTCACGGCTTCTGGAGCTCTTGTGGCAACAAAAACCGATGCCAGCCACTTCGCCAGCAGGGACGCACCAAGGAAGCGAGGTCATTATGCCAAACGATAGCAGCGCACTCTCACACCATACATCCGATCCCCATGTGCACTTTAGCCCTGCAAACGACTTCTCGTGGCTGGATCTCGAAGCTGTTGGTGATTACGTCTCTGGCGATCAGATGTCAGGAACGAACACGCTTGCACTGGACACATTCCAGAATCCAGATCTATTCATTCATGGTCAGGATCGGTCTCAGACCTGGCAGGTACCAACATGGTCGGGAGACATGAGCAGCAACCTTCTCTTCTAAAGGCTGAGGTTGGCTGGGTGGCAGTGTAATAACCAGGCACAAGGATGCGACTCGAATACGGTATTATTGGCACAATCATAATCCATTGCTGGAGACCGTGAACCGGGGTATATTTCCGTATTTGGCGTGTACGGGCCGTACCCGATCAAAGAGATGCCTTATGATTTGCAGGGGCGGGCGTAACCACCGCCGCCGCGCGCCCGTCCGTTCCCTTCACCCCCACTGTTTAGTGCGGGGTCGTGGAGGGAAAGTGTTTAGTCGGAGTTCACGCCGACCTGAAGAACACATGGCTACGTGCCTCCATAACTCGTCTGCTTTCCTTCACGTAATTACCCACCTTGTGGTTCCGACTTCTTACTCTGCAATTTTGTCCACAATTGTTCCGATCAACATCAAAACACCCAGGCTATTACTGTCTGCTAGAACCATGTCTCAGCTGAACGAAATCCGCGGCCGACTGGCACTGATAACCGGCGCCTCTGGAGGGTAGGCTTCGCAGAGTCAGCCAACAGTTCCGATAGGCGTGCTGACCACGATACTGTACAGAATTGGTGCAGCTTGCGCACGACAGCTGGCTGAGCGCGAGGTCCATTTGGCGTTGACGTACTCATCAAACTCAGCTTCAATCGCATCTCTCAAAGACGAGCTGTCATCAAAATACCCTACACTCCGGATTACCATTCACCAGGTCGATGTTGCATCTGCTGAACAAATCGAAGCCATGTTCGTGCAGATTGACGAGCAACATGGACAACGACCTGACATCCTTGTCTCAAATGCCGGCCATGGCAAGCGAATCCGTCAGATCTGGGATATTTCCCTTGAGGACTTCGACTATACATTGAATGTCAACCTGCGGGCCTCATTCATTTTGTCAAAGGGAGTGGTCGAGCACATGAAGAATCAGCGATGGGGACGAATCGTGTTCATGTCCTCCATTGCTGGCTACGGAGGAGGTATCAATGGTTGCCGTACGTTATACTAACCATCCGATTACGATAGGCCTCACGCACTTTGCTGATTTCAATCCTTCACAGATTATGCCGCCTCGAAGGCTGGCATGACCGGTATGATGAAGAATCTCTCCACTCGACTAGCGGAGTACAATATTAGCGTGAATGACGTAGCACCTGCAATCATTGGCGACACCGGGATGATCCCTAACGCTGACTCGGTTCCGGAGATTGCTGCAACTATTCCCCTCGGGCGGGTTGGAACTCCAGGGGAGGTTGCGAATGTGGTAACTATGCTCGTGACGACAGGTTACATGACGGGCCAAAGCTTGCTGATCGGAGGCGGTTTGAAATAGAGACTGTGAGGCCTTGGTGGGTCCATTGTCTGGATATTAGCATCAAATAGCGACCGGAAGTAACAAGGTTGCAACCAGAATCTCCAAATTTATCGTTAGAATGTCTTCATCGTTCTGGACGTAATAGTAGATCTAGAAAAGTGGTGGTTGTCCACTCGGGGCCCGACCCATCCATTCCGACCAAAGGCGGCGGCTTACTGCCGGGCGGTGAGCGACAGACCTACCGGAACCACACTAGTGCTAGGGCTAACATACCCTAGGCGGGTGCCAAGCGCGAAAAAGCGCACCACAACGAGCGAGCCTCGCGATCTCAAGTTTGAGCGGCCGACGACAGAAAAGCGACAAAACTTCTCACCCGACATCGAAGGACCACCCGCTCGGCAACCACATCAAGATGGTGAGTGCTATATTCGAGTTTATTGCCATTGTTGGAGTCGGAGCAGAGGATTTTATCACGAGAATTCGAGAATTACGGTCTCCATGATGTTCAACCCCCGTTGTACCGGAAATCTTCGAACCTGTGTGTGCCTATGGCCCCCCGAATGAAGGCCTACCGTATATCGAATTTTCACGACCCTTGCTATTATCACGACCCGTCAAATGATTTACCTACACTTTTTCGCCACGAATCCTGCTCCGGAGAAAAAGAATGATTGGCGTGTTGAATTGAAGGATTTTGATATGTTGAGGGCTCATGCTGATGTTGGGTTTTTTTTTCCGCCGCCATCAGGTCCGTTACGCTGCTCAGGATATCCCGGCCGCTAAGAGCGCCCGCGCTCGCGGCTCTTACCTCCGTGTCAGCTTCAAGAACACCCGTGAGACCGCTCAGGCCATCAACGGCATGAAGCTGCAGCGTGCCCTTACCTTCCTCACCAACGTTACCGAGAAGGCTGAGGCCGTCCCTATGCGCCGGTACGCTGGCAGCACCGGCCGCTGCGCTCAGGGTGAGTGCCAAATCTATTTTCCCTACATGCGACGAATCCCGGAAGCGGACACATTGAAAGAGTTGGAAGGCGAATCGAGGGCTAGGTCGTGGACGAGAAGGACAATTGTGTACACCGCGGATGGCAATCGAGAATATTGGGAAATGCAAGAGTTCTGAATATGGAGAAAACTGACAGTCTTCGTTCTCTAGGCAAGCAGTGGGGTGTCAGCAAGGCTCGCTGGCCCGTCAAGTCCGCCGAGTTCCTCCTCGATCTCCTGAAGAACGCTGAGGCCAACGCCGACACCAAGGGTCTCGACACCGGCAACCTCGTTGTCAAGCACATCCAGGTCAACCAGGCTCCCAAGGGCCGCAGACGCACCTACCGTGCTCACGGTCGTGTATGTTGAACCCACGCATTCGTTCCCTTCTCCCACAGTCACCCGCGACTGACTTTTTCTCGATTAGATCAACCCTTACATGACCAACCCCTGTCACATCGAGCTTATCCTTACTGAGGGTGAGGAGGTCGTTCAGAAGGGTCCCGTTGCCGAGCGTGAGGTCCGCCTCAGCTCTCGCCAGCGTGGCGCTCAGATCCGCCGTGCTCTCATTGAGGCATAAGCGGTTCGTGGGTGTCGGGGGAAGTGAAGTGGTCAGTATCTGAATGGAATGCCGGAGTTTCGCTGTTGTACGGAAACCTATACCTGGTCACGGAAGGAATACAAAAGAAATTATTACTTTTTTGACAAATGGAAAAAATTCGAAACCAACGGGCGAGACCATCTATCCGTGGCACATCTGAGCCAGTTTGATCTCCACCTACCCCCCCATCGGTTCTATCCCTAGGAATTTTGCTTCGACAGCCTTTCCGTGGCCGGTGAAGGTATAGAACAGGAGTCGCAGATTCTCTGATACCCCAGGCCTGGGTGGGTGGCCTGGGTCGTCACGGTTAGTTCGGACATTCTCACAATTCAGAACACTTTGAGCGCTGCTTTTCATGAATGGGCTACGGAATTTATTGTTTCATGAAGTAAAAGTCGGATGTGCCTAGATTGACTTTTCAAGTAGTTGTAATGTAGATTATTGTTATCATGTTCAATTCGACTGAAGACGTCGAAAAAGACTTCCAACTGCGCATAGCATCTCCGATCTACAAGCGATGCCTAGATCCATCATCCTTGAACCCCAGGCCCTCGCGGGCAGCCGGAGACCGTTTTGATGCCTGCGTGACAGGCCAAGAGTGGCTGTGCTCCCCGACCAGTGATTGTCGTCCTCCTCAGCCCAATGCGATCACCCGACAACCGGTCGACTCGCATACCCCATGACGACAGGAAGCAGAGCATAGAACAATATCCAGGCTTGCATACGTAGTCGAGCCCGGTTGGTTGCGCCGGTGAAGCTCATGCGCAAGACCGTCTGTGGTTGCAAGCAGGCACCACTATTTGCTGATGGGGGTTTCCAAGGGATGTAGTTCTATCGGGTCCCCAGGTCTTGGTCAATCCGCGCAAGACCATGCTTGCGTGTCGCCGACAAAGCGTCGTCTTTGCCACTGCAGCAGCAGATTTGGCAGTTTGATCGGATCATCACCATACATATATCTCTTCAAGTGGGGAAAGTTTAGTCTTCTGACGGAGATTTTGGTGGAAAGTATCCGTAACTAATTACGAACTGCCGCCCGCCGCCGTTTCGGTCCGCTTAATTTGCTTGCTTTGCTTTCTTTTTCCAACTCGGTTACTGCGGCGCCTACTAGTCAACTACTAACTACGAAGCTACTACCTAAACTACAACTCGACACTATTTTTTTTGTCTCCCCCTTTCTTCTTTGTTTGCTTCTTGTAATTGTTCTTATCCATAATCCTCTTCTTCTTCATCTTCTTCTTCTTCTCACCTTAAACCATACCATTCATACCCGTTGCATTTGAGCTTGTACGGTGATCATGAAGCGCATCTTTAACTCTATCAGCAAGCGGACTAGTGCGTAGTTGTTCCCCAGTCGCGCGACCATGCCAACTTGGAACCTCGGTCACTGATGCCATGCCGTCTGACAGGTCCCACGCGCCCCAGTCTTGCAACAACTACAACTTATCCCGAAGACTCGCCTGAGGGGATCATTCTGCGAGAAGTGGTTGGTTCCATCCCCTGGTTCTCCCCTGGTTCTCCCCTTCAGAAGCACAGTAAGCTAATAAACTGTCTTGCTTGTTCTTCAGACCGCATTCTGCGAAGAAGGTGCGAACAGTGTTGTACGTCTTTCTTTCCCCGCGTCTCTCAATCGCGACATCGTAACGCTCGCATTTCTCCACCTGCAACGGAAGCACTCATACCATGTGTCCAGGGGAATGAGTACGTCCATCTGCCGGGCATCGTCGAAAACGCCGAATCGAGCCCCAACGCAGCTCGCGAAGCCGCTTTGTTGATTTGCAAGATCCTGTCGCAACCTTCGAAGCAACCCACTCATGTCCAGTACAATGCCATCATGCTGATCCGCATCCTCGCCGATAACCCGGGCCATACATTCTCGCGCAACATCGACTCCAAGTTTGTTGCTACGATCAAGGACCTCTACAAACAGGGCAGGGACCACCGCGTTCACAGCTTCCTGAGAGAGACCTTGGATGCGTTGGAGTTGCAGCGATCGTGGGATGAAGATCTCAAGCTTCTGTTGCAGATGTGGAGCGCCGAGAAGGCTAAGAACAATAGCAGCCGGCCGAACGGGCTACGTGTGAGTATATGTGCCAATCGCGGTTTGTGGCTTTAGGGATTGCTGACGGAAGCAACGGCGGTAGGCCAGCCGGAGTTCATCGCAAGTGCGGGCGCCTCTTCTGAGTCAGAGCCACTTTGATCCTCCAAGACAGCAGAACACGCTCCCACAGCCTGAAGAGCTTGCTGAGCGGATTTCCGAAGCAAAGACTTCAGCGAAATTGCTCACGCAGTTTGTCCAATCCACCCCTCTCGCAGAGTTGCTCGAGAATGATCTCATCACTGAATTTTCCGACCGATGTCGCACGGCGTCTCGCGTTATTCAGAACTATATCCATGCGACGAACCCAGCGCCCGATGAGGATACGTTGTTGACACTGATTCAAACCAATGACGAAGTCACTGTGGCTCTGTCAAATCATCAGCATGCCCTGCTTCGGGCGCGTAGATCGCAGGGCCCAAGCGGTAGCCAGTCTCCGGCAACATCATCCAACAACGAGACTGCAGCGTCTGGTGCTGTGCAACCACACGCAGCGCCTCCAGTGCCACCCAGAGAGCCGCAGCGTACCTTCTTGCCATCTTCTGCCTCGGAACCGGTGATGCCGGGTCCTTCGGGGTCGTCCAGCAACAACGGCGGTTGGAATGACCAGCGGTCGGGAGGTAGCGAGGACCAAGACCCGTTCGCAGATCGCCACACCACTACCACCGCCGGCCCTTCAACGTATGGTGAGCCGAGATTGGACGGGCCGAGCAGCGACTGGTGGAAGGAAGCACAACAGCGGCCCGGCCAGCATTCTTAACGCTCCCCTTCCCTTTCTTTCCTTATATGTTTTTTATGATGTAGCGATACCTCGACATGATACCTCTCTGCAGAACAGTGCTAGATTGAGCCTACTATTCTTCTCTTCTTTTCCATTATTCTACTACCGGTATTGGTGTGTTGTGGGTCGTATTACGCTGGTCCTGAACCTGACTGGAGCAGCCGCCTTGGACTGGAACCTGGATCGGATATTGCAATGCTCGTCCCGAATAGATGAACCAGCTGCATCCCAAACCTCGGTCTGGGCAGGGGTGGAAATGCTTGAATCTTGATGGACCTTCCCTGGCTAACGGCGGTCTTAGCTCGAACCGGAAGCGCCATCCGCCGTCATCGGGCTGAAAAAAAATCCCTGCCTAGATAACGGAGACTCGGAGAAGGGGAGGCAAAGCAAGGCCAGGAAATTTAGGAGTGCCCGCTAGAGAGACGAGCGTGTAGCATGAAAATCGATGTCTGGCTGGGCAAGGCGCGGAATTAATGTAGGTGAAACCCTAACTGTGCCAAGCATCCCGAGCTCACTGCTAATAAGACGCAGCTCCACCGCTGTTTCACGCCCATCTACGTGAAACCGCACGGCGCTTGGGACCATACCGATCTGGTACGTGCGACCGCTGCATGCCTCTCGGTCTATGGCCACTGATGTGCCTCGATCAGTGACCTGTCAATCTATCGTGCCATGTCCCGGTGGAGAGGCACCCTGTCATTATTTCTTCAAGGGTTTAGAGGGTTCTGTCTAGACGCAAGAACCGTTTCACGGCCGACCTCCGAATGAAGCTGCTCCAGCTGGTCCAGGCACCGTTTTCTTGGTATATAGGATGGCGGACCTCGCTGTTTCTGCTCGAGAACTTTTCATCTTTCTCACTACACGCAGGCTTGTCTGTTCACTTCGTCCTTCTCTTCGACATTCTTTTTTCTCCTTCCGGTCTGTGACCATCTCATTCTTTAAACCTTCCACTCTTTGAAACAACCGGTATACTGGTATACCCGAATCCTTCACTACATTCTTTCTATCTACCAAATCACCTTCGATCAAAATGAAGCAAACCGGCTCTATCCTCGCCCTCGCTGGACTTGTGTCCATGGCCAACGCCCACGGTTTCGTGACCAGTCCCCAGCCCCGTATGCCCGGATCTGCTATGGAGAAGGCTTGCGGCCAGCAGGTGTACAACAACCAGGAGGCCGACAACTACGGCAACATCCAGGGTGAATTACAGATCACCAGCGGCCAGAGCGACTACGACGCCGAGGCTTGCGACATCTGGCTCTGCAAGGGTTACAAGTACGCCGACAACACGGCCAACGTCCAGTCCTACAAGCCCGGTGAGGTTATCGATTTCACCGTCGACATCCGCGCTCCTCACACCGGTACTGCCAACGTCTCCGTTGTCGACACTGCCACCAACACCATGCTTAGCCAGCCCCTGATTTACTGGAGCGTGTACGCCTCCACCGCTACTGGTGTGACCGCCAACGAGACCAGCTTCAGCGTCACCATGCCCACTGACCTCGGTGACAAGTGTAACGAGGCCGGTGCTTGTGTTCTTCAGTGGTGGTGGGATGCCCGCTCCATTGACCAGACCTATGAGTCCTGCGTTGATTTCACCCTGAGCGGTTCTTCTTCTTCTTCTTCCTCTTCTTCCTCTTCTTCTTCCTCCTCTTCCTCCGCTGCTGCGGCTGTTGCCACCAGCGCTGCTTCCAGCTCTACTTCCAGCGCTGCTGAGACCACCACTGCTGCCAGCGCCGCCGTCACCTCCCCCGCGGCTGCCAACAACATTGCTCCCGTTTCCTCCTCCGGTCCCACCACCCTGGCCACCAGCGTGAAGCAGACTGCTACTGCCGCTGCTGTCTCCAGCTCCACCGCCACCAGCGTCTCCCTGCCTACCGACGGTACCGCCGAGGAGCAGCTCACCTGGGTTGCCAGCGTCTTCAAGGCCCTTCTCAACTACGCCAACTAAATTGAGATTTGGGGATGAGGTGGAGGTACGTTGCTCTGTACCGGCAAATGTTAGGATAGAGGTAGATCGCAACTAGATTACCTGCCTTTTATTAGATCTTCTTTGTTAAGATTAGTCACTTCAAAATTCTATTAAATTTCTCCAGACAGCCATGAAACAGTTCTGATAAGTAGCATATAGCTTTCATCCACAGCAAGTATTAATTGGTCTTGACGACCAAGTGGTTTAGGTCTATAGCCATCGCCTAGCAACCATCAAGTCTGCTTCCAAGTAATATGCCCAGGCCGCTCGAGTCTTTGACCTAAGCCCATGTCACTGGTCTTGCAAGCAAACAGTCTAAGACGCATAAAGCCTCTTACTTAGATTAGACAATCCTCTGGCCACTGGGAAAGGTTCTGACAAAGACTTACTGTCCCACCACGAGCATGGAGAACTTCGCAGTATGGAGATTCAGGTCCTGGCTGCCCGTGTACTCACGCATGCTCCGTGAAGGGGACCGCGTGTACGTGCCAGATGAACTCAACACCTCCTCCCCACCCTTCCCCGCCGCAGACATTCACTTGAGAGCTTCTACCACTGGGATCCTGCGTGGATCCGAGTGAATGTAGACCTCTGAAGAGTGAATAATGTGAAAAACTAACTCACACGTTCCCTTGCTTGGGTATTTATCTCACCTCTCTCACACCTGTTTATCTTCCCTCTCCCTCCCCCTCTTGTTCAACCTCTCTCTTTCTCTTCGTTCTTCAGCTCGTCGACTACGGCTGTTTGTTGAGGATCTCGTGTTGGTACTCAATACAGATACACTGCGTCTTTGACACGTCGAGCCAGGACTGGGGTCCAACTGTCAAAACCACCAACCAAAGCCTCGTTCAATCCTTCTTAGAAACCACGTCTCGAAAAGAAAAACAAGTAAGCTGACACCTCTGTGGCTTTATCTTCTCTCCCAGCTCAACACCATACTAATCCACAAAGCAGAATGACTACACCACAGCAGCCAGCCCAGCCTCCCCAGGGCAATCCACCCCCCCGCCACCCTTCCCTACGTCCTCGACCTCTGGCTTCTCGGCGCGATGCCAGCCAGCAGACCAGCCCTGATCATGCACCGTAAGTGAGCCATTGCATTTTGGGTAGTTGGATTCTCTGGCTGATACGGGACGAGCAACAGTGCTTCGAAGAGAGCCCGTCCTAACACCCCGGCTAGCGCGAGCGGCCGCGCGAATATGAGCGGTCAGCGTGTTGTTAACACTGGGACTGGTGCGAATGGCCAGGCGGGCGGCGGGAGACAGCAGGCTGGTGTCGGTCAGGGTGGTGTTAATCAGGGTGTTGCTCAGGGTGGTGTTCATCAGGGTGGTGTTAAACAGGAGAGTGTCAACCAGGCGACTGTCAACCCAGCGAGTGCCGCCCAGGCGAATGCTAGCCAGGCGAATGTCAGCTGGGCGAATGCTAACCATGCGAATGCCAACCACGCGAGTGCCGCCCAGCCAGGTATCAACCAGGCCGGCGGAGCTGGAGCCAACCCAGCGCATTTCATCCACCCCGATCTCTACCATATATTCCAGGCTTCCGCCGAGCAATACAACCGTTGCAACATCGCGATCTTCCGCGTTGGCCCGAGCCCTGTAAAGTTTCACGTGGACATCGACCACCTACTCGTGCGCAGCCCCAACTTTCATCGATTCTGCATGGTCGAGTGCGCCGAGCGCGGCGAGCAGCACAAGCCCCGCCTCATCCACCTTCCCGACGTCTGCCCGACCACCTTCTCGCACTTCCTCAAATGGATGGGCAACGGCGATCCGTTCGGCGGCCGCCCCTTGCCTGACCTCGCGCCCTTCTTCAGCCTCTGGCGCTTCTCGGAGCGGTTCCAGTGCTTCCTGCTGCAGTCCGACCTGCTGGCGTACCTGCACCGCTGGCTGGGCAAGCACCGCGGCCTCTTCGGGGTCTCCGTCATCCGGCTCGTCTACACCATGTTTGAACGGGACTCGCACATGCGCAAGATGGTCGTCGAGGTCAACGCGTGGCGCTCGGGGCTGGCCGACTTCCAGAACTCCAAGGCCGACGTCCCGCGCGAGTACGTCGAGGATCTGGCCGAGGCGCTGTTGTCCGTCCGCAGAACTGACCCGCTCACTGGATTGCCCGGGGACTTCGTTGCGCGCTACATGCCGACGGAGGAGGAGAAAGTGGATTCGGAGTCGGAGTAGGGGGTGATGTTACGGGCCCTGCGGGTTTCTCCAGTTGTTGCTGTTGCTGATGAGGTTGGTAGTGAGTTCGGTTTGCTTGCTTCAAGGTGGTAGTTTTCGGTGGTAAGATTGGGTGAGCAGCTTATGAGTTGAACCTCACTTCTTCAGATTGTTTTCTACATTGTTCTTTGTGTGATTCCGTGAGATTGCCTTGTTCTTCGGGATATGGATGAAAACTGGACTCCAATAATCTTAAAAATTTGTGTTGACTCGGGAGATTGACTTTTCTGTCCTCAGCCTGTGATAATACGGATCTAAATTGAACTGATATCAGCCTTTGTACTGCGTAGTCGAACGTAGAGCAGATACATCTCATGGTATCGAGTGCTATCACCATCGAGGCAAAGATAGGCGAATTGTTGTTGAGATTCACTTCTACACTTCCCAATCGGGAAGATGCAATGCCCCTGACAGCTGACTCAGGGTCTGCATCCACTAGCCCGAATGGGATAAGTGTCCATGTCTGATAAGAAGATCAAGCCGATTGATAACTTTCTCCTCCTTCCTTCTCCTCCTCCTCCTCCACAACCCCCCTGACCCCGTTTCCCAACCACACCCACTGAACAAAATGGAGGAAACGCATCGACACGGCGCGTCGGTGCCCCTCACTCATCTCCATCCTCACTCCCATATCTCTCACGATACCTCAATTGCCTACAATGCCGCCACGACCACCGCCCTGGAGCCATCCGCGCCGCACCGCCGCATCAGCATCGGCAGCGACGAGGAAAGCCAGCCGCCCCCGCGCTACACGCTGGAGAACGACCCATTCCAACTGGCCTCGAAACTGAAAACCCCCGAGGAGATCGAGCAGATCCAGCCGCAAGCCAACACGGCCCGCAAACGCGATTCCGTCCAGCAACGAACCTCCTGCCTCCCGTCAACCAACATCGGCGGCGGCGGCGGCGTGCAGCGGGTGCTGGCCTCGCGGCAACTGCAGGGGTTCTACCAGACGCAGAACGAGAATATCGAGCGGATGCTCAAGCCGGTGGAGGAGCACGTGCGGGCCGCGCGCGAGACGAACAGCAGCAATCAGCTGAAGTACCGGATCGCGGTGTACGGCAGCTTCGCGGCGAACGTGATCCTGTGCGTGCTGCAGCTGTACGGGGCGATCTCGTCGGCGTCGCTGTCGCTGTTCACGACGATGGCGGACGCCGTCTTCGACCCCATGTCCAACCTGACGCTGCTGCTGTCCAACAAGGCCGTCAACCGCGTCGACGCCCGCAAGTTCCCCGCCGGCAAGGCCCGCATCGAGACCGCCGGCAACATCTGCTTCTGCTTCCTCATGTCCGCCGTCTCCTTTATCCTGATTGCCTTCTCCGTGCGCGAGCTCGCCGAGGGCTCCGAGAGCGAGACCGGCTCGTTCCACTTGCCGTCTGTCGTCGCCGTCATCGTCGCCTTCTGCACCAAGTTCGCCCTCTTCCTGTACTGCTTCGCCCTCAAGGACCAGTACTCGCAGGTCCGCATCCTGTGGGAGGACCACCGCAACGACCTGTTCATCAACGGCTTCGGCATCCTAACCTCCGTCGGCGGCAGCAAGCTGCGCTGGTGGATCGATCCCGCCGGCGCGATTCTGCTGTCCGTGCTCGTTTCCGCGCTGTGGCTGCATACCGCCTACCACGAGTTCCAGCTCCTGATCGGCGTCACGGCCGATACCAAGATGCAGCAGCTGATCACTTATATTTGTGAGTTTTTTTGCCCTGTCTTCCTCCTTGCTCTGGTTCCGTGTCTATCGGGCACACCCGTTTTGGCTGGAATCATCCGCTAATCAATGTTCCGGGACACAAAGCAATGACCCACTCCCCCCTCATCACCGCCATCGACACCGTCCGCGCCTACACCTCCGGCCCCCGCCTGGTCGTCGAGGTCGACATCGTCATGGACCCCGACGACTCCCTGCGCGCCACCCACGACGTCGCCGAGGAGCTGCAGACCAAACTCGAGTCCCTGCCGGACGTGGAGCGCGCCTACGTCCATGTCGACTACGAGACCACGCACAAGCCGGAGCATTTCTTGAAAAAGGAGCTTTAGGTTGCGTACCTACTGTCACAGAGGTGATCGGACTGAAATATACGCAGATGATCACGCGCGTCTCTTTGATAGGGGCATTGGTTCGATGCTACACCAGGTGTCGCTGGTGTTATGTTGTATATGTGGTGTCTACTGCTACATCTCTTCTGAGAAGAATATAGCTTAATATAGAATACGATTTAAATACGAACTCGACTTATTCATTTAGCGAGGAGCATTTCAGAAAACCCTGAAAACCCCCAAGATTCCACCAAAAAAAAAAAAAAAAAAAAAAAAAGACAGATCCCTAAAACATGAAAGCCACTTTTAGGGCACACCCCAAAACTCCCTTCATACGCAGCTATCATTCATATCATGTCTCATCATCATTATCATAAAAGCCAAGCCACCGAATCAGGCCCTCCGTGCAGTCTCCCGCGTGGAGATGGGCAACAGACTCCCCGCGAAGTCCGTATCGAGACTCTTCCGTATCGACCGGTTCCCACTCAGGATCTTTTCGATCTCGTACCCCGTCGTGCGGATCCCATCTTGTTCATCTCTCACGAGGTTCCCTGGTACTGCTGCAGCTGCAGCAGCACCCCCACCCCCACCACCACGTAACCGGCTCCTCCTCCCGCGCTGCATCACCATCCACCGCCGCGACCGCCGGATCCCCTCCTGACACGCATCCCCGATGTCATCCAGCAAGAGCGCCAGGATGATCAGGGGGATGGAGATGGCGAAACCGATGCCGAAGGTATACTTGGCGACGTACGAGAGATGCAGCTGGCCGGTGCTGCCGCCGCCGCTGCCACCATCAGCTCCGCCGAATTCGGCCAGGTTGATCGTGAAGATGGAGGTGATGAACGACAGTGGCAGGAACACGATGGTCACGATGGTGAAGACCATCATGATCTTGCCCTGGCGGGTGGTGCCGGCGGCCTGGTCGCGGGCGAAGCGGGCCTCGAAGGCGTTGGCGTGTTTCTGCTTGAGGTCCAGGAGATCGGTGATGGAGGAGTAGATGCGCTCGGCCTGCTTGTCCATGCGGTCGATGTCCTTCAGGTGCATGTCGATGGTGCGCTGCTGCTCCTTGAACCGCTTCTTGATCTCGGACTGCGACCGGTGCTGGCCCGTGTAGATCTCGCAGATGGCCTCCTGGAAGTCCAGCAGCACGTGCTGCTGGTGCTGCAGCACGGTGCGGATCATGTTGAGCTCGTCGCGGATGTCCTTGGCCTCGGAGAGGAGATCCGTCTCCTGGCCGATGTCCAGGAGGTTGTCCACGAACAGCGGCTGTTCGTCCTCTTCGTGGTCGTCTCCGATCGCGGCGTCGCAGTACTCGTCGCGCGCAGCATCGGTGTTGTTGCCGCGGCGCTCTGCAGCGGTAACCGCGTCACGATCCTTGCTGGGCGGCGGCCGAGCGAACCGGCCGAGCTTGCGGTGGTTCCTGAGCCAGTCGGACGCCTGTGCGGAGTCCCGGTTGAACTGGTTGAAGAGGACCGTCTCGCGGTCCGTGGCTACACCGATCGACGCCTCGAACATGTCCAAGAACTGGTACTCTTCGTCGCCCATGCGATGACGGTCAAACACCCCCGAGCAGCGGGTGGTGATGATGATAGCCAGATCGTAGACGGACTTGACGGGTTCCCGGGTCTTGGAGTTGATGTCTTCAATGATCCCATCGAGGACGTTGAGCGGGTCGTTCTTGGGCTGCTCCCACCGTTCGGGGAAGCTGGTCACGATCAACCCGGTTCCCAGGATCCACATCCAGAGCTGATCGACCATGAAGATCTTGGGCTCTGACAGGAACCGCTCGCGACCCTGGCCTTTGGTCTGGTACCGGTAGACGACCTGGTCTTGATCTCGTGTCAGCGTGTCGATATTAGGGTAGAAGAACTGATCCAGCGTGCGTCGGATGTGAAGCGACGTGGTAGACGATGCTAAATGCGCGCTGATCAAGAGCTCATCCCGCGTAGGTGTCCGGGTGAGGCTAGGCCGCGCGAGACACCGCGTCTCAGCTCGCTGGATGGCGTCTTGCATCTTCTGGCGTCTCTCGGTCGTTTCAAAGTGTAGATACGGCATGAACATGCACACATTGCACGCATTGGAGCGTGTTGAGTCTTTGCACAGAGAGAGCACAGGTCGATTCTTGTCGTTCCGATCGATACCGTGGTTGTGTTTAGACTCATGCTTGTACTGTGCTCCCCCGGCCTTGCCACGCTTGGTCGCACCCTTCCCCTTCTTCGCCGGGTTGTCAGAGATCGAGTCGGTACGTTCAGTTTTGCTTCCGTGCTCTTTCAGTTTCCGACCTCTAGGCATGTTACCTTTCGGAGTGCCCGGTGCCTCGTGGGTCTGTCCATTGATGAGAATCTGAGGGGCAAGTTCGACCGTCTTTTCCTCAGAACTGTCATCTTCCTGGAATCGTGGTGCACGAGGGGTGCTCTGGCACAGAGGACGCATGAAATGCGAGTGTGTTCGTTGTCCTTGATGTTGGTAACGGAAGGATTTCTCCAGTCCCTTGAAGCTCTCCACATCGTGCGCCCCCTCCTCAATGAATGACTTGGTAAGAAGAGCCTCAACCCATGTCAAATTGTTCGCCGGAAGATGGATCCAACGAAAGTCAGTCGCCCGACTATCCGCCGGTAGGGTGCTAAATGCCTGTTTGCGTGGGTTCTCGGCATCGCGACCGTAGAGAAGATTGAAGACCGACGTCTTCTTGACCCGATTTTCGTTGTGGAAATTACCGAAATCGACCACGGTAGCCTCGAATGCTTCACATGCGCCTTTCGCCTCCGCAGAGAGAGCCTCAACAGTGTTGAACGGGGCAAGGAGAGATACTATGTCTCTCCGCTTGAACTGGGCTGCCCGCAGGAATGGTGTGCTGCCAAAGTTGTCCCGAATTCTCTGCTTTAGACCCTTCTGCTCCAGCAGGCACTCTACTACCTCGCGGTGACCAGCTTGTGCAGCCAGGTGCAGGGGAGTCACCCCGTTGAGCAGTTGGCTGTTGATGCTGGCTCCAGCACGTAGAAGAATACGCACAATCAACTCAGAGCCTCTGTCGCACGCATTATGCAGCGGGGTCCAACCACCGTCACTTCGCGCGTTGACGTCCGCGTCGTACGCCAGCAAGAGCTGGACAATGTCATCACGACCATGAGCGACCGCGATATGGAGCGCGGTCTTGTTCCGACACTCGACGGCATTTACGTCTGCGACCGGCCCATGCGGTCGGGTTAGAAGCAGCTGCGCGAAGCGTAATTTCCCCGTGGCACACGCCCAATGCAGAGGCGTGCGGCCGAGTTCGTCCTGGCCAGCCAGGCCGTCGAGTGTGCAGGTTGTACTGAGCAGGAGCTCAATGACATCCTCTCCCCAATCGCACTGCTTGTCCGCCGCCAGGTTATGCAGGACGTTCCTCTTCTTCTGATCCCGAGCATTGACATCAGCGCCGCGGGCAATCAACAGCTGCAGAACATGCCAATGGTTCTTCCAGGCGGCCGTCATCAGTACGGTCCGGCCCTTTTTGTCTGGGGTTTCCGTCGATGCGCCATGGTCGAGGAGGAGCTGCACGATGCGAACGTGATTCCGCTCCACGGCGCGCAATAGCGGTGAGGGCCGATTACTGGCAACGTCCGTCTTTGCACCGATCTGAAGGAGGTATTCGGTCGCGGCGATGGACCCGCGCTCGCAGCTGCGCATGAGCCCGATGCGCAGAAAGGTATCGTTGAGTTGTCCAGTTTCGCGAGCCAATTCAACGATGGCCTGCAGAGTGGCAAACTGGTCGCTCTCAACCGCTCTCAGCAAGCGGGGCTCCAAACGGTCATGGCTGTCACTCGCAATACTAGATCGTGACCTAGACATGGTTTTTGTCTGTGCTGGACGCTGATTCAGGAACGGAGACTTCGGTCCCAAGGGTTGACGGTGGCCCACCACATATTCCTGGGGTTTTTAGGTTTCGAGGAAAACTTGGGGCCGACAAGGAAAATAAGAGCTGAAGGGCAGAGCCGCGCCAGTCAGCCGGGACGAAATAGTGTCGAATGTTAGGTGCGCCACGCCAGACGGTCACTGGCTAGAAGCATAAGCCATACGAAATTAGCTGCATGTCGGGAGTCTGCTCGCAGTATTCTCCACTGCGGCTGGGGATTGGTCCACTACTGAGCAGAATTCAGGGTTCACGTCCAGCCTCCGGGCTAGTGCATGTAGACTAACTTAGTCACTTTGAGAAAGGCTCTCAGTCAGCAAGTAGTCGTTTGAGCAAATGAAGGGAGTTTGAGACAGGCTGATCAGAACTATAAGGAAGGAGGGCAGAGTCCAAGGCTATCATTCTTCTGGGTCGCCGCCACTGTTCATAGAGCATTCAGCGCGTGTAGTGTCGTTTTGATTCACATGTCTTTAATCATCGGCGCGGACAGCTAAAGTACCATGTCAATGCCGCTCGCTGGTCGGTAGATCCACGAGAGCCTGAATAAGTCTCACGATTCAAGCTTGCGACTCTTGCAGGCGAATCGTAGAGAGAGGCTGATCTCAAAGGCACGGAAAGTCTCGTGTCACGTGTACCGGACAAAGATGCGCACCCCATTCAAAGGATAGTTGCCTAGTGGTCGTCTCGGTCTCTTCCGGTCCTTGATCATCTGCACCACCAATTTAACAGAATACACCCAAGCCCGTTAGCAGGATGGACTCTGCTGTCATGTCTCCTGCTAGACTGCTAGGCAGTCAACTTCTGTGAAGTGCCGTGCATCCCCCCATCCGTGTCTGCGCCGGTCTAGCCAAAGTCACGTTGCTGGCCATTGTGGACCAATTGGACTTGTCCATGCGGCGGTAGTTCTCTTACAGAAACGTGGGTAAGGTATCTGGCAGAGTGATCCCTGGGTTTGAGTAGTGGATGGCAATGAGAATAGCACACGCTATTAGGATTATGGATGCTAGCTGTAGGTTGACCAAGTTGTCCTGCGTGATATGTGGTAGGATGTTCGGATGATGAGAAATATATTCTTTGCCGAAGGTTCTCCCTTCCCGCCGCGTATACGTACAGGACTGTGTATTAATTGGCGACCACTACTTCAACCTGATAGCAGAGTGTCAATGAAAGACATTATAGATAAACTGATTAGACTAGTCGATTCCCAATGCCAATAATGTAGTTACTAGCAGTATAGCTTAGGGCCGGTGAATCTGAATTACAGGGATCACTGACAAAGGGACTAGCTACACACAACCAGCCAATTACCCATGATATGCTCATCTTGTACCCCATAGAAGGGTGCATTACATTAAGACTAGTCCTTTTCAAGGACCTATTATCTATATCAATGATGCGTCTGAAAGGTGTAAATCACATCAAATCAGGCTGGCTGACACGGCCAGGCACGGAGCAACGACATTTGCAGGAGCCCAACCCCCCCTCCAAGAAAAACAGACAAGAGAAGTACAGTAGAGAGTGGAAGGTGAGTAGAGGAGATAAGTGGAAATGCCCAGGGAAATTCGGATTGCACACAGTAAAAGAAGAGAGGAAGACAAGGACGAGATTCCAAGAGGCAAGATTCATGATCCCAATGCCATTGACCAAACGCATGCTCTGCTCCAATCCACACAAAAAGAGATAAAGGAAATATTAAAACAATCTTCTGGCTCTTGACTGTCGCTACCCGACCCGAGAAAACTTCAGATAGATGCTCGTTTACGCCGTTCCAGCCTTTTGGTTCAAGATAACGTATCACGCCCAGTATGAGAGGTCAAATAAAATGGACAGAATGACAATAGGAAAGGGAACTGCATATGACAGGATACAAGAGAGCTGAAACGACCAGTGTTAGTAATGCAAGGAATTGAAAAAAAGGGTTGGAACACGAGAGGAGGAGAGAAATATCCCCAAGGGGGACCCTTTCAAGCTCCAGTCTTCTCTCCAACATTATACACATCTAAAAAGAAACCCTTAGATTCTTCTATCGCGTTCTTTTGCCCAAGGCTTATTTCTTCTTCTGCTGATTCGGTACCTGCTTCAGAATGTCGTCGAAGCTCATGTTGGGGTTGAATCGACTGACGGGTCGAGCCGGGGGATCCAGCGGGGCTACACCCGCAGGCAGTGGCAATGCTTCTAGACCCGGATAAATTGAGGTGCGGTGCTCTGCTCTCCGATTCAAGACTGGGGAGTTGAGCCGAGGAATTGCAGGTGGAGGAGGACCAAGACTGCCGGGGGTCATGAGGGGAGTTGGCTGCCCGCCCGAGAGCTGTTGTTGCTCAGACGATGAGCCTGCTGAGGATTGCTGGCCTTGGTACGGTGAAGACAGCGAGGACTCGTTGTCGTATGGGTCCTCGATCGTCGGAGGCGCTAGAATAGCATCCTTCTCCGCCCATTGTTCCGCCACCTTCCAGCAGTGACTGCGGCGGTAAATGCCTTCCACACCGTTGATAACCACATCGGAGGGCAGACTAACCACACCAGCGCCATTGGCCACGCCAAACCAACTGCGGGCCGTCTTACCGTCGTTCTGTATCCAGGGTGCACCACCGCGGGGCGCAATGCAGAGGAAGTACTCCACAGCATCCGTGTATCGGACGTCTTGCACATCAACCACCACCAGGGGCAGGGATTGAATGACACAGTACAAGAAAATCCATTGTCCGCAACGCATGTCAATCATGTCATTGATGTTCTTGCCATGCGCCGAACGGCGCTCAAACTGCATGAAGGATTCGATGAAAGGGGTGGGCTGCAGACTCTCGCGGGTGTAAGAGCCCATGAGAACGGCATTGATGTCCGCATCCTTCAATTTCTTCGCTCGCTTCTTGGCTTCCTTCTTTGCGTCCATTGGTTTCCGCTCGAGCGTCTGCAGCGAGGGGAACTGTGGAATATCGAATGGAATAGGAGGCTGAACTGGAGGAGTGCTTCGATCATACTCGCTCAGAACCTGTCTGAGAGCCCGAACCATTAATTCATCAGGGTCGGAGGTCTCTGTTGTTTCCGCTGCCATGTCCACCGTGCGGGTGGTGAGGGCGGCCCGGTCGACCATCATATCGTAAAGGTTGGCGAAATCATTGTAGAGATCCTTAACAACCTGGCGATTGAGTCCACTCTCCTCGAATTGATTCTTCTTCGAGCGAGCTTTGGGAGGCCAGGATCCGTACTTCTGGCGATAGTACTGCATCGTGAAGCGTCGGAAATCCATGAACGCCATTTTCCAGTTCTTGAACCGCACCACCTTACTCTCAACCGACGTAGCCGAATTGGCGATACCAGAGAAGACGGAAGGGAAGTCAAAATCGTCGAGCTTACTGTACAGTACCCGGAGACGGGTATCCAGATCGATGAAACCTCGCTCCAAGCGTTTCTGAGTGACGGGATTGATAAGGCCGTACTTGGGACTTCTCAGTTGCTTCAATTCGTCCAGCTTGCCAACCCCGTGCACGAACCCCTCGAGGTAGAGAGGGTAAAAACGCAACCGTTCACCCAGAACGATGGCCTCGATGGTTTTCTCGCGGCTCTTGCGCACATCTGCCAGTCGCAGTTCCTCACAGTAGTTGCCAAAGCTGGTCGTCGCAGTCTCGCCAAAATTGGAGCCATCGAAGTTGGTGAATTCAAATCGAGAGAGTAGCGTTGCAACGTCCATAAAGATGGAAAAGAGGGATGGAGATCGAGGCGTTGCAATCAGAGATTGTCCCAGCAGGAAAGCGAAAAGGTTACGGAACAAAAGGAAGTTTTCCAAATCCTCCCCGGTGAGTCGAGTGTTCGGGTTGGAAACGTCGCTGTTCAAGGGGATAGGAAGGTAGAGATGAAGCTCCTGGAACTCTTCGGGATTCTCATCGTCCATGTAGGCCAGTCGTTGGCTCCCAGAGCTGTCATTGTCATTATCGGCCAAGCGATCTTGAGGTGTCAAGGGCGGTGACGCGGGGCCAACCACGGGGCTATTCAGAGACAGATTGCCTGTTTGTTGCTCGAGAGATGTGGGACTGCGAAGCTCGTTTCCGCGAGCAAGGAAATGGAGGGAGGGAGATTCCGCAAAGACCGTCGAATGGACCTTGAACGAGGCCTGCCGGCCGGTATTCTGGGGGAACAGGTATACGTAGGTGTCGCCATTTTCGTTCCACAGCTCAGGGATCTAGCGTGTTTCCAATGTTGGGTTTTAGTAAACGCTAATGAGCGGGCTAGCCATGCACGAGCGAGTCCCGCGTCCGGGGACCATCGGTACACACATACCTGTTCTCCTCGAGACAGAGGTTCCAGATCATACAGAATTTTCTGCTCTAGGCCAGCAATCCAAGCACTGGGCATGGCTGAGGTGCTGGCGCGCGGATCAGCCGAGCTTGCACGAGCTCGCCCGGGCATCCAGCTACGCCGCTTAGAAGATGGGGTGCTCGGGCGCGAGTCCGGACCGGCGCCTGGCACAAACAATCCCGCCGAGCTGGACGGTCGACTCCCACTACGCCCGCGACCGCTACTCTGGGGTCTGTCGGAGGAGCCGGGGGTGCTGGTGGCCAGGTCCTGATTGACGGACAGTAGGGATGGAGGCGGCGGCAAGGGTTCGTCCAAATCAAAACCATCGTGGGGACCGGGGGGAAGAGGCGGGCGGGTCTCGCCGTAGTCGCTTTGAGGATTAGAGGCTACACGAGCTGATCGGGAGGCGCTGCGAGGACGTGCATCCTGCGGTAACTGGTCGGGGGACGCTTTCGGGATGCTCGGAGATGCAGGTGAGGAGGGTGCCGAACTATCCCTGGTCGAACCCAAGGAAAACAGCGACGATATGCGCTTGGCCGATTTTACCGGAGCGGACAGCATGTTCGGAGTCGCTGCGTAAAAAGAAGAGAAGCAATCGTCAGCCCCGGAGAACGAGAGAAAAGGCGTAGCGATGGTTGAACGGGTGAGTGGGGAAGGAAGAAGACATGAATAGCGAGAATGGACAATGAGAATGGAGAGGGAGCGGAGTGAGGAAGTGAGAGTAAGATTGGGGGGGGGGAGAACCAGAGGGTGCAAGTTGAGTGACAGGAAACTTCACCCCTCCACCGACGGAGGAGACCACGGGTTCGCGAAAGGCAGGCAGGAACCGACGTACCTTAACCAGTTTAACCAGTGAAGTAAGAAAGAATGTTACCAACCATGCGCAAACTCTCCCAGGCGGTCCAGGGACAAGTTTGGTCGAGGAATTCGGGAGGGTTTGGCGAGGAAAGGGCAGGCAATTCGTGCGAACTGCTTCGACGTGCCCTGAGGAATGGATCGACAGGAGGGATCCAGTAGAAGAGGAATGGATGCAACTTTCGATTTTTGGGGTGGGGAGGAAGTGGGAGGGAGAGGAGAGGCAGATTGTCAAGAAGAAGGTTTAGTACGTGGTACAAAGAGAAAAGAGAAAGAGGGAGGGGGTTATAGGTGTCAGTAAGTGAGAGTATATTAGGAGGATGAGAAGGAGAAGGAGGAGAGGATGGAGGCGGGGAGACGGAGGGTTGAGATAGATGATGATGAGGATGAATTATAGGGGATGCTGTATAGACGAACACATTCACAAACAGACACAAACAGACACAAACAGACACAGTCTCTCTTTCACTCCTCTTCTGTACGCTCTGGGAGACGAAAGAAAAGAAGAAGAGACGATGTGGAAGAATATGGAGAGAGCGAGAGCGAGAGGGAAAAAAAAATAATAATAAAAATGATTGAGGGTCAAAGAGCGACAAGTGACAGAAACCAGGACGGTATTGAGAATACCTGATTTGGTAGTGGGGGAAGCTGCGCGATGGTCGTATTGATGCTTATAGTGGAGGTATCACGCAAGTAATAATGCACTGTCCTGGAGTATTTTTAACCTTTCCGGTGGAGCCGACGGTCGGCGAGGAATTCAATTCGCATCAAAACCGACAACAAGACTTTGGCACCCATGGATTGCACCGTAAGAGACTATAGACCTTGTCGCAGGCGATCTAATCAAATCATGAAGCAACAAGAAACAGATGCAGTCTTACACCTGACTAGAGAAGACATGAGGATTGTCTGTCTGCCTGTCTGATGTCCGTCTGTCCGTCTATTCTTATTTATTCAGAGTTATCCGCAGCCACAGTGATATACTTGTGCTCCGTACTCTGCATTGATTAGATTTACTGTATTGGCCCAGGCGGTAAAATCCTCCATTGATCCCATCCTGGTTCGCCTGTTCGTGTTGGAGAAACGAAGTGAGAAAGAAAGAAGAAAAAAAAAAAAAAAGACAAAAAAACAAAAAAGAATGAATGAAAAAATGAAGAAAAAAAAATGAAAAGTGATTGTTGACCTTACTCCTGCAGCTGCCTCTTGATGCCTTCGTAAAAAGGTGCTGACGACGAGGGATCATAATTTTTATTTTCTAATTCCGAAGAGTAATGTTTTGTGAAGTCGGCCCCGGATATTCCCACCTCCTGCTTCTTCTTGACCTTCTTGAACTTCTAATGGATTCCTTTTAGTGGAGACACCCCCATTTAGTCTTCTCTTAGCATTTTGCCCTTTTGCCTTTTTGCCCTCTTGCCCTTTTCTCCTTCCCCCCCAAATTCATGATGACTATTCTCCTTTCCACTCCTTGTATTATTTATTGTACTTGATTTCGGTTAGCCGGACCATCGGGTATCGGAATCAGAGTAAGTGTAGTTGGCTAATTTACAACAGCACCTAAGAAATTTCTGTCGTTCCTGATAGATCATCCTGCATCTGATCTGATTGCGCCATGCCTGTCTGCGGCAAAAGTGGACTGCGAGGGCTGCGACGAGGCAGTGTCAATCTGGTTCAGGAGGCTGATGGCCTCCCGCTGACTCCTTGGCTAATCAGGAGAGCCTCAGGAGAGCGCCCTGGCCGTGCAAGTAAATTTAAGAACGAAGAGAGAAAAAAAAAAGGATATCTTACAGATGAGACTTGACTCTTGCGTTGGCTGGCGTGGTGGTAGATGCCTACGTATTGCGAAGTCGGATCGTTAATTCGGATAACTTACATAGTACCTTACTGTACATACAACAGTAGGCAGAAGAATTTCTGTAAGTTAACGCTCCGCCAGGTGGTTGGGCTCACCATGCGATCATGACATCCATGTTTCCAAGGCAGTATTTTCGATCTCCAGTCCCCTGAGGAATCGATGTTCAAGTTCTCTCCATCCCTGATCGCATGTCGGACATTCGGAACGATGCAATTTCTAACTCAATCACGACCTTCAGTGTCCTCCCGGTCGCAGTTAGACCAGCCACCTTGCCTTTGCTTTTGAGGTTCTTTTATATACTTGAAGCACTGGGTAGGTTGCCACAATACGAACCGTGGCCCCTCCTTGCCCCTTGAGTATAATAAGCACCATGTCCCATAGTGAAAAGGGGATGTCAAGACCTGGTAAACAAGGGGGTAGCAGGATAACTAGATACAAGCCCGTAAGGAAGACCGCACTGCATATTTGCGCCTGCTGTGGGCACGTCATGCCGAATTCCAACGGAGAGACCAACTCTATCTTCTCCGGCTGGTCAGTGACTTGAATGAGCCATAGAACGGGGTTCCTTTCCGGATGGTGGAGGAAGAGCTCGAAAGAGGGTCGTGGGTACGGAGTACAAACTAAGTTAATGGTTCACTATGCCATCCTTGCCAATGGATGAAGTGATCATCTGGTAATGCGTCCGCCATCCATTCCCATTGGGTGCTGCATAGTAGGCATAAACCCCGAGAAAGAGCGTGTGTTCTTCCAGGGCAGGCAGGGCAGGCAGGGCAAGGTGCAGTGCCCCCCCGCTGGCGGCGGCGGCGGCGGACTAAGAATAGATCGGGATCACGCATGGGATTAGATAAACTTGGAGACTAGACTACGTACGGAGAACCAGGCACAGTACTAGGTACCGAGTACCGAAGGTGTGTATGCGCTAGTAAGGATTCCTCTTCCTTTTTCGTCCGACTTGGTCAATTACCTATATCTTCTACATAGTATCATCTGCTCAGTTACCTAGGCATATTGCATGATCTGTTGGAGGCCTCAAGGCGACTAACTACACATGACTCAAACATGAGTACGTACTCTACGTACTCATGTAGTATGCTACGCGTGGCTGGTCTTTTGAATGTTGATCGTTTGCTGTGGGGACTTCCACCAAGAACCATGAACCAACAATAAAGAGATCTCGACTCGGGCGCGGGATTACCTAATCAGCTTGGGGTGCAGGATTCACAGAGTATTGTCTGTACCAATCTCCAATCTTGCGATTGTTCTATTGTCTCGCCACTGACCAGTGAATCCCTCTGGTGGTCATCGGGATTCCAGGTACCTCGTACTTCAGGTACTGTACAACGCAAATTTGCAGCCCCGCTATCGGCCCTGCAATGGCTTGAACTTACTATGTAAGTTACTCTGTCCTTCCGTCCATCTCCGTCCATCTCCGATGCCCCTCTAACAGAGCTGCCACTGCCAGGGCGAGGGGGCTGGTAAGCTTGGCAACCCGACCCCTCTCTGGAGGAGGGGCAAGTCTGCCTGTCAACCTGTCAACCTGACTACTTCGTAGACTCTCTCAGCATCATGAGCAGTGGATATTTCAGGACGGTGGTTGGGTTGCGGAGTTTCAACCTCCAACAATGACAACATCACAAGGAATGTCGACATACGCAAGATGGATTACTGGTCCCATGGGACGAGCCTACTACAGGGCCGCCGCCCATTGTTCCTCCACGCTTTATCAGGCCAAGTGCGGGCGGTGGAGACCAGACCTCCTGGTGACGACTGTGACGACCATGACGACCACCCTCCATGGACCCCTCCTCTCAAAACATCTTTCGTCTGTTTACAGCAAGTGTTAACGTCTGGGCCTTTGTGAAACACGATTTTTGACGACTTTCCATCGACATCCATGGTTGTCATCAATCTTTCTCGCGGGTGGCCCAACCCCGCCTTGCTGCCCACCGCCGCCTTGGCCTCGGCCTCCGCCACGGTCCTCGCCTCCCCGAGCATTTGGCAACCAGCCTTGCAATACGGCCCTGACGAAGGCTTTCAGCCGTTGCGTGAGCACGTTGCTCACTGGCTCACGGAATTCTACCAGCCACGAAGTCCCATCTCGCCGGATCGCATCTGTATTACCGGCGGGGCTAGCCAGAACCTTGCCTGTATTCTTCAGGTCTTTTCCGATCCGGTCTACACACGCAACGTCTGGGTGGTCGCCCCAACATATCACCTTGCAGGTCGCATCTTCGATGATGCTGGCTTCGCCGACCGCCTGAGGGCGGTGCCTCTGGATGCGGCGGGTCTGGATCTGGCTTATCTGCGAGAGGAGTTGATTGCTGCTGAATTCAAGGCCTCCCGTGAGCTGAACCTGATACCGGTACGCTAGGATCTTCTTTTCCTCTGCCCTTTCAATATTTCCTGTGCCTGCTCCGCGGAGTGGGCGGTAGTGATCATAGATTAAATAATACTAACTTTTCAAAGGAATACAAACCAAAGCGATCATGGAGGAAGATCTACAAACATGTCATCTATGCCACGCCTACCTTCTCGAATCCCTCCACTCTCACTCTGTCGCTGTCGGACCGCGAACAATTGGTCCGTCTGGCGCGTGAGTTCGACGCTGTGATTATCACCGACGATGTTTACGACTTCCTACAATGGCCCGCAGAACCAGCTGCACAGGAGGGACAGCCGGAACACGCACAATTGCCCCGGATTGTGGACATAGACGGATACTTGGATGGCGGACCATTGGATGAGTGGGGCAATGTAATCAGTAACGGGAGTTTTAGTAAGCTGATTGGAGCTGGCATGCGGACTGGATGGGCGGAGGGAACGGAGAAAACGGCCTATGGTTTATCACAGACGTAGGTGATCGGGGACTGTTCGAGTCTCGAAGCCTGCTTCGTACAAGCTGACATCGAGGTTGCCATAGGGGATCGAGCCGATCTGGGGGAGCACCCTCCCAGTTTTCCGCCTCCATAGTCGCCCAATTGTTTCCTACACGGGTCCTCCAAAATCATATCAAGAATGTGCTGCAGCCGGCATATGCAGCTCGATATAACCGAATGATGTTTGCTATCAGTGAACACCTGGTACCTCTGGGCGTCACGCCGTTGGCTCCGAGAGGGACCGCAGGGGGATACTTCATTTGGCTTCAACTGCCTACTCCCCTTCGAGCAACTGAACTGGCTTTGCTCGCACTTCGGGAGCACGACGTCGAAGTGGCGGCAGGGAATATGTTTCGCGTGCAAGGCGATCCCGTGACGGACAAGAACGATTTCGATAATGGGATGCGTCTTTGTATTGCGTGGGAGGATGAGGACCAGCTTGAAGAAGGTGTGCGACGACTCGGGTGCGCTATTCTCCAGGTCTTGCAGAAACAATGAGGACGATCTCGGCGCATCAGCTGCCCAAGTAGAAAGGTGACTCAGACTGAGCCATATCGAGCATTTTAAATCGCGCAGGCGCGGGCGTGACCAACACGAATGTCAAGGTCAGCTTTAAAAATCAGGTTGCCATAGAACGTAGTCAAAGGCGCCTGATAGTCGTTGATGGGGGCTGAATGGATGGTATTAAGCGTAAAGCCGACGCGGGGAAGGGGCAGCTGACATGCTGCGTTGATAAGGTAGTAGTTCGTGGCCGGGCCGAACTGCAACGCGGGGACAGAACATCAGTCAGCCAGGGGCATGAGGTCTGGAAGTAGTTCCGTGACGAAGACGGACAGTGGCAGAGACGGGCTGTACTTTTGGACAAAGGGAAGTACCGCCTTTCTTGAACGAAAAGGAATGAAAGGACGCGTCAAATAGTAAAAAGAGGCCCTGGCGAAGGGGTGAGGGAGGGGGGATGGGAACTTAGCCACAGTCCGGTTCTCGGAGACACCACATTCTTGCCGCAAGTGTGTGCTTTGTCTCGAGCTTGGTTGGTGGTGCCTTGCTCTAGGCTGCTTATTGTTTGTCGTCTTTCTTGTGGGCAATCGAATGGCTGACGATATGAACTTGATTCTTGAATTGACTACTCCGTACTAAGCACTGCTAGAGATGAGATCAATGAGATGGCTACCTAATGGCTTGTGCATCGTGAGAAGCAGAATGTCTCGGGTAAAGGCCAACTAGCGGGACTATTTATTGTCTAGTGGTCGATCGGCGACCCAGTGGGTGTGTGCCTGAAACAAAAGCTTGACGGCACTCGCGATATTGGATTTGGACCCATTTAGTTACACTCGTCGATGTGAAGGCGATGAAGATGGGGAAACAGTCCCCTCAGGGTTTTAGTAGGTTGTCAGGGTCGTTGAGAACTTATCACCTCTTGTTTCTAATACTATAGTAGGTTGCCCCGAGAGTGCGTTTCTCTGCAGCAGCCTGCAGCAGGGCCTGGAGGTTGTTGACCTTCTGAGCCTCGTTCTTTGTTCGTTGTAAACCAGGGGGGAAAAGAAGTGGGGCGATGGAAATCTGGTCTGGTCTGGTGTCCTGAGGCACCCACTTGCATCGGGACCAGACTCCCTTCCTGTACTCCGTAGTAGACCTTCAGAGCCATACCTATGTACTAGCTACCTAGTAGTCACTTTTACCTACCCATCGCGTCACGTC